ACGGTCAGCTGTCGGTACCACTGTCGAAACCAACACAAGACAAACCGCGCACAGATGGGATTGAAACGGCATTGCAAAGCGCGTTCTCAACGCCTAAGTCACAGACCCCGACTGAAGGAAAAGACCTTTAAACATTCATTTTCTAATGTAGTCAATGAGGGTGTGAGTATAGTAGTTGTATGAATGTTATAAACTTAAGACTTTTCAATCCCCACAAACAGTTGAGTCTGTGGCTTAGGCTTTGTAATTGTGCATTATAATTAGAGGTGGCTGTGTCAATTCCCAGCTGCAAGTGATTTTGCAGCAACAGAATTGGATTGGCTTTGACAGTGTTACAATCATGTATAGGGTGTCCTGATTGCAGGGAAGTTGAAACCTCGACTACGACTGGTACCGATAGCCGACTGTTAGAGTTCAGTGGTATACCACTGGACATTAAATTGCCTAGTAATTTAATATTAGGGATTACAATTATTCATTATCATGTAGCGGGTTATTTGCAGAACATTGCTTTCATCACAGTTCACCTGAAAGAAACTTGGTCTTTTGTCAACTTTCCCATGCACTTTTCTACCCAAGGTGTCGCTAACATCATGTACCCATACTTACGTTGGTCAACTTTCCTGATACTATCTTCCTGCTATTTGTTTCCCAATCCGCTATTATTGAATATTGAAAACCAGATTACATTTCTCCAAAAGTTTTGTTACTTTTGCTGTTTTATTTTTTGTCACATATTGTTAATTGTTTTTGTTGCAACATTATACTGTTATTGTTTTTTTTCCTTTGATGTTTCTTCTCACAGCAACATTTGGGCAACGTGAGTTTATATGTGTATGCTTTGTCTTTCTTTGTTTTTCTGCTTTGCACTATTAACCAAGATGTTGGCTTATGTCTAGCTTAGAACGACTACTTGGGTTCGCATCCACATTGTCTGATTTGTTTTTTCTTTTAAAAATCTACCTTGGTTCCCAAGTTGACCCAGTCTCAAATTATTACCAGCTAATCCCCCGTGTGGGTTCCAGGGCCCCATTGTGGGGAAAACAAGAATAGACCCACTGCCTTCCCAAAAGCATGCCGTAAGAGTCTACTAATTTGGGAGCTTCCTTTGAAGTCGGAGTGCATCTGCCGGAGAGGCAAGGAACCAACAGTCTGTATTCAAGAGAGTGAGATCTGTAAAACTGATGCACACACAACACTTAGGTTCTGGAGCAGGACTGCAGTTCAGTAGTGGACAAGCAACCAGAACTTTCCGCCAGAGTATACAGCTGGTGAACGCAAAGAAGAAGAAGAAGATGTCCTGGGAAGTCAAGATGCCCAGTGGGATGTTGACCACATCACCTTCCTGTGTGGGTTTCGGGACCCCATATTGGGGAAACAAGTATAGACACACTGCGTACCCCCCAAAAAAAAAACAAGCATGTCGTAAGAGTTGACTCTTCTTCTTCGGGTTGTTCGTCCACTTCTGGACTGTAGTCCTATTCCAGAAACAGATTGTTGCATGTGTATTCGTTTTACAGATCTGGCTTATTTGTATGCAGACTTGATTCCTTACCTCTCAGGCAGATGCACTCCAACTTCGAAGGAAGCTTCCAGTTAGTCGACTGTTACGACATGCTTTTGGGAGGGCAGAGTGGGTCTATTCTTTTTTTCCTCTATAATAGGGCCCTGGAACCCACACGGGGAAAGAATTGACCAAAGAGCACCTTCCTTAGAAGTTGGAGTGCATCTACCCGAGCGGCAACAGCCAACTACACACAAATAAGCCTGTAAAATCAGATGTACATGCAAAACTCAGGCCCTAGCACAAAAGCAAAGTGCAAATAGACGAAGAGCCAGGACTTTTCCCCAGAGCTAGTAAACAAAAGAGAAAACCACATAACCCACTGAGAGCTGATTAGGCTATAAGATATGTATAGAATCGTGCCTTTATAACTTTGTATCTGGATAATTAATTTAACTACTACTGACCCATACTGTCTCTGTTGCACTCATTCGAATTAAAAAAAATTTTTTATGTCTCTTAAGCTGAACTATGTATTAGAAGAGTTGAAGTAGCAGCTGCTTGTGTGTGAAAAAGTTAAACAGAGCGACTAAAAGTTTTGAACATTCCCTATAATTTGGAATGCAGCTAGGGCGCTTTATTGTCACCAGCAGGAAGGAGAGGTGGGGTGTCTAGTGTAGTTCATTATCAACTTGTAGCCTTCCTGTATGGTTCCCGGGGCCCCATTTTGGAGAGAAAGAGTAGACCTAATGCCCTCACAATAAGCATGTGATAAAGGTGTGAAATCGGATGTGTTGGACTTTGTGTACCCCTCCCCCCCCCCCCCCCCCCCCCAAATTCTCAAAAGATTGTGCTTGCCTATGGATCAGAAGGTTGTGGGTTTATGTACTGGTGGTACCAGCTTTTTTAAAAATGACCTTGGCTGCCAGGTTGACCTAGCATAGAGTTAGTAGTACCAGGTAGAGTCCTGGGAAGTAGAGACGGCTGTGATGCTGACCACAGCACCCACTGAGTGCCGATTGGTATACAAATACTGGTCTAGCCCAGTAGTTGACAAATCACAGCTCACGATCCACATGCAGCTCTTTAGAGACCTGTGTGCGGCTCGGCCACAGAATTGCTTTTATATCCGAAAAACATGGGTCTTGACAGGTTTTGGAAAAGAAATTTGGCTGTCTCAAATTTTTTAGTCATCCTGCTGTTTTGGGGCTTTTTTGACTAATGAGTTTGATGACCACTGGTCTAGCCCCATAGACCCAATTCGCCTGATTGCATGAAAGAGGGTCCTTTATAGGCTTTTTTACTTCTTAAGAGGTCCCCAGGTCTTGCATGTGCTGGGGATTAGTAGTTTTTGTATTTTTGTCTATACATTTTAGATCATTGACATTCGTCTTCATTACTGCTTTTGTCCTGCAAACCGCTGGGGGAGGGGTAGAACCTGGCAGTTCTAATATTTAAAAAACACTTAATAAAACGACTATTTAACACAGGTCACTGAAAATTTTGAAAGAATAAAAGAATTTATAAAAACTGTTTTAATTGAAGTTGAAATGTGTAGAGGGAGTAATCATGGAACACAAATGCAGTTAAGAATTAAAAGAATTAATTCCTTAGGCTAAAATAAAATTAATGCCCAAGCTACTGGGAAAGTCTGAATGGTAAATTGTGACATTAGAGTTAAAAAAAAACAGATTTTAAAAAGGAGTAAATTTCAACACAGTAGCGCCCCCCCCCCCCTTCCCTTTTTTCCCATGTACTTTTTTAAGTAAATAAAATATCAGATCCTGCTCTCCTTAGCACTGCACTAGCACGAAGAAAATCAGGAGGTAGGTAGTAATACCCTACCATGACATCGCACAAGCGATAAACACCTGGTGACACAAAGTGCCACCATGTGGATGAGGTTCACCCGTGGATAGGTCCCAGAAAACCATTTCAACCGTTAAGCCACATCTATGCCACTGCTATATTTAGGGCCCCTGGCAGAAGCCAGGGTGGGGCTTCAAATAACACAAAAGTGCATCCCACATTGGGACGACTTTTATAAGGCTAAATCCAAATATTGGACAAGAGAAAACCAATGCTGATAGCTAGGCTTGTGTGGGCCTGGATAATGCAGCACTGCTGCTTTAATGGCCTTGCAGGGATTTGTAACAGGCGATCATGCTGGTTTATCAGCGTCTCGAGGCAAAAGGGTTAATGTTGTGATATTCATATAAATTTAGAGTTAGAAATTTTTTGCATGGAATTCTTTCTTTTGTGATGTTGTTGTAAATAGAAAGTAGGGGTCGGGGATGTAAACAGATTTTGGGTGTAAGGAGAAAAAGACAAGAATGTGCCCAGTGTAGTGAAGTTGATTCTCTCGACTTTAAACAGAGAATATTGAACATATTCAAAGTTAATGGTCGACGTTTGGTGCAGGAGAGCCTAGCATGAGATACCACAACATCCAGCTGAAGAATGGAGGTGGGGGCGATCACTGCAGCTTTCCGCTGGTTAGAGGACACACACACACACACATCGGAATTGCAACTGAGAAAGCATGCTGAGGAAAATCAGGACAGGCATGCTTCGTGCAGAGCAGCATGCTTCGCTACGGAGGACACGGGTGAGGAGTATTGTCTGGATTTTTTTCACCCGGCATGCCGATGTGTTGGCAGATGAACAGGTGGGCAGACTGGCTGGCTCTGCACAACTTGGTGGAATACTGATGCATGATAAGGCAGACGTGGTTAGTGCCTTGTGGAAGGGCCTGTACAGTTCGGGGGAGTATATGGATCACCACATTCTGGTGAGATTGATACAGCGGGGAGTGACGAGAGGTTTTGGCAGATGCTCAAGGCTCAGAGGAAAGGCAAGACGGACGTTTAATCAGAATGCTACTGGCACCTTTAGTATCAGAACTCTTCGCTTGCTGCTGAAGATGTTGATGGAGCGCTTATGGAACTGCCCTAGGTGCTGTGATGTCTGTTCTTGGATCAAATCAAATCAGCAGACATGCATACATTCTACATGCAGTAAAAAAAAAAAGTCCCTATTTGGCTTGTTGGCATTCCATTGGAGATCAAGTTGTATGGATTAGCACTGCATTGCAGCTTTATTAGAGGCATGTGGCCTTCTCATCTGAAAACCACTGACAATCAAAAGGAAAAGAAGAATACCTGAATGCATCGCTAAATCATCGATTCATAAACTGATTTCACGGCGGCACCTTGTCGGACGGTTTGAATACTTGTGGAAAAAAGAGAGAGAAAAACAGTGCAAATTTAATGTTCATTTGTCTTTAATGCGATGAAGGAAACGTTGGATGAATTTTTCATTTTTTCCTTTGTGTTTATGAGAAGTTTAGTTGGTTTTACCCGCAAATCACTTGAAGGTTGCTCCCGTATCTGTTTATTTAACATGTTAGTAAATAAGGAATGTATATTTATGACTGCTTTTTATTTGATTATTTATCGTAAAATAGTGTTGCATACCAGAATATTGTAATTTTCAGCCTCGTCTGGGTTTGGCGGCGGTTCAGCATTTGGCGGTCAGACACCGCTGGCAGGCGGCAGCTTGTTTGGAGGTGGAGCCAGTGGTACCGCTGGCAGTACAGGTGGTGGATTGTTTGGTTCTGTAGGTGGCTCAGGGTTTGGGCAGACACAGAACCCTGGTGGATTTTGTAAGTATCCCCATTGCTTAACCCCTTTCGTATCGGTATAGGGAGCGTTATGTGGTCCCCTTCGAACCTGGAATTTTCAAGGAACCTTAGAAAAACTTTTAATTATCAAGAAACAAATTGAAGTAATAAAGTATAGACTCAGCAGAGAATTCAATGAATCACATTCCCTTACTTTAAAAAAAAAATGTTTTGGGTCCAGTTGCTATGTGACTACTGGAATTATGACGCTATGATGACCAAAAAGGTTTTTGTTTTTCCAACATACCAAAATTCCCCAAAACATCTCTATTATTTTCTTTAGTTGTCACCGTCTCAAATCAGTTGTTTTATATGAATAACTGTTCATCGTCATGTACGATGCCCATAAGTGTAGACTGTTGTTGTTTTGCCACCTCATAGGTTCAATGGAATCAAGGATCAGGTCTGTGTTATGGTCTTGCTGCATCGATTTGTATCTCTTTGCCTTTCCTTTTTGACAATTTTGCGGGTCGTTACCAAGCTCTTGAGTCTATTTCTTCTCATAAAATACATGAAAAAGCACAGTCTGTCTGTATTTAATGTCTCTGAACAGTTTGCTGCTACAAAATATAACTAAAAGACACAGGATTAGAAATGACGATATCAGGAAAGAAGGGCCATAACCAGTATTAAACTATTTTAAGAGTCAACAGATCAAATGGTATTAAACTATATCAAGACAACAGATCAAATGGTATTAAACTATATCAAGAGACAACAGATCAAATGGTATTAAACTATATCAAGAGACAACAGATCAAATGGTATTAAACTATATCAAGAGACAACAGATCAAATGGTATTAAACTATATCAAGAGACAACAGATCAAATTGTATTTAACTATATCAAGACACAGCAGATCAAATGGTATTAAACTATATCAAGAGACACCAGATCAAATGTTATTATACTATTATCAAGAGACAGCAGATCAAATAGTAATCAAGAGATAAGATAGTTTGGACACGTGTCATGGCTGCCACCAGATAGTGCACTGTGGAGAGCCCTGTCATTTAGACGTAATGGAATCCAATCCAGAGGTCGACCAGGCAAGCAATGGAAAGGTGGAGTATCCAAGGCCATAAATACAAGCGTCTATGTAGTACAAGGCTCTTACCCGATGCCTCTTCCAAACTTTATCCTGAAAGGCAGAACAGGACTAGAAAGAAGACGTTTGTAGTTTTCTGTGAAATCAGGATTTAAAGCCTTAACCTGATGCAGTACAATGGAATTTTCTATGATTATTCATGTACAGATTTACAGTTGTTTCATGTGGATAATTTGCTTCTCTAATAACAGCATTTGGCGCCAATGCAAGTGGCAACACTGGAGGACTGTTTGGCAACACTAGCCAGGCCAACACGGGAACAAGTTCCTTGTTTTCAACACCAGCAGCTAGCACCGGGTTTGGAGCTAGACCCGGAGGTTTTGCTGGTGAGGGTTTCACTTGTATACTTAATAAACACGTTTAAAAAAAAAATAGTTGCATGCTAACTTCAAGGATTTTGCAGACGGCCCAGAATTTGTTGCCTGTTTATGGGTTTACTGGGCAATAGCATCTACACATCAAGGCATTTGGTGCAGGAGGTAGAGCACCTATGGGTATGCCTAGTGTGCTGGGATGTCGATTCTTAAATCAGCGCCGCCGCCCCCCCCCCCCCCCCCCCCACTGTCCTACTGGGCAATGTTGTGTTGCCTAATAGGCCTAAAGATGTGGAAAGGGTTCCTTTACTGTTACTTACTTTGTGACCCAGTAACGACTGCAGGAAGGGGGGGGGGGTGTTGACCAAAAAATTTATGTAAATAAGGCAGTTCCCCCTCCCACACACACACACCTTTTCTGGTTCCTGAACAGCATAATTAAAAAAAAAATGTTGCAACACACTAAGGTGACCTCCACACTTGTAAAATTGTATATAACAGTATTTGAACTCAGCAACCGATATATTTTTTCTTCTGCATTCCGCGTCTTCAAAAAAGGGAGTTGGCGCTTTACTATGTGGTTTACAGCTAGGCTGCGATGCCTATTGTACAGAGAAATTTATTTAAATAAAGCAGCTCCCCCTTCCCCGCACACACCAACCATTTCTGGTTCCTGAATCTAAAAAAAAGTATTGCAATGCACTAAAGAGACCTCCACGCTTGTAAAAGTACTATATTCAGTAGTAAAGTACTTGAACTCAGTAACCAATATATTTCTTTTTCTGCATTCGTCTTTAAAGAAAGGCTGGCTGGCGCTTTATGTTGTTGTTTACAGCTAGGCTGCAATGCTTGCACCTTTTGTTAACCCTTTGCCCCCGAGAACCTGCAGCCCCTACGCGTGTTTGAGGGTCCACTTCACAATAAATGCCACTGACATTTCTAAGCGATATGTTTCTGAGGCATTGGCTGTGTTTGAGCCTGTGGGGCATTTAGGGGGTCAGCATTTGAATTTATTTATAAAATAACATATAGAGTGATTTGTATGTGTGTAGATAGCCTTTTTTAAGGCCATGATGACCACATTTTCCTATTAGCCTCAGTTGCAGTCAGTTGGTCGCAGCATGAGTCAGCCAAAGGATTATTTTTTTTTTTGGCTCCGGGAAGTAGATTCCATTTAATAATTCCCTCTGTTCCTGTTTATTGGCGACAACCTTTATGTCTTTATAAAAACGCTAAAAAAAATTAAAGATATCTTTTCATCCCTTTATCGCACCGGGCATATGGGAAGAACACCCATATTTTTAAAGACCAATCAGCACTAGGTGGGTAATGTGGTCCGCACTATACCAACCGCCTTTACTTCCCCAGAACACACATCCTGGTACCCATTTTAGGCTGGGTCGACCTGCAAACGCCCCATACCATGATAAAAATTTGCGCTGCCGGTAGTGGGTTTAAATCGCAGTGCGTTGGAATTACGAGCTGAGCTCGTAACGCCTACGCCACAGATGCCGCATGCCTTTATATATTTCAAATTGTAAAAAAATGTAACTATTTAAAAACAGCATTTATTAGTGACCTATGTTTTTATTTTATTTTAAATTAATAATGTGAAAAGGTATTTTAATTATTTTTTAAAATACCATTTGCAGGATGAAAGAGTTAAAAAGCAATGTGTGTTTTTTTTTTAAACCTCTCAAAAATGGGGCCAAGCGACCAACATATGATATGGCCAATCTCTGAACTCAATCGCCTTACATGGTTCAGTTAATAAAGCAGACATTATAATTCGTAATTACCTATTCATGAAGAGTCTATAAATGTGTACAGGTTTCGGAACCTCCGCTGGCCAAACTGGCAGCAGCTTGTTTGGGACGAACACTGGAGCCACATCTTCCCTTTTTGGCCAGACTTCAGCCACTGGTGCATTCGGTGGGGCCAGCGCTGGTATGGCCACAGTTGGGACCACTGTTCCCTTCAACCCACCAAATGGTCAAGATACCATGATGAAAAGTGGAGTCACCACGAACATCAACACTAAACACCAGTGTATCACAGCCATGAAGGAGTACGAAAATAAAAGTTTAGAGGTGAGTCAAAAAAAAAATATTTATTTTTATCTTTTGCTGGGACAGCTTTCTCATTATTAACCTTTTCTTATCTTTCCTCTTCCAGTCTGGATGTCTCCTTGGGGGAAAAGACTACAATGAGTGGGTGGCGTCGTGTCAAAAGAAATTTTAAATTAATAGTATTTAACTAATTACTTTGTTAATTTAAAATTAAACAACCATTCTTAATGTGGGAGAAAAAAATGCCTTCCATCAAAAAGTCAGTCATAAAAGGCTACCAATTAGGGCTTTACAGAAATAAATTTATAGAGCTAAAATATGCAGATATTGCAGTCTAGCTGTTAACCACAATACACCAACATTGTTTCAAGAGTGAACACATTAGGAGAAGAAACGCAGCATGGTTAGGTACTGTTATGACTTTGAAGGTGGTGATGAGAAAGTGAGTTGAAACTCGGGGTCCTAGCTTGACAATGTAGATTGTGGCGGCAGAAAAAAAAAAGAATAGACCCGCTGCCCCCTGACAAGCATGTGGTAAAAGTGGACTAATTAGGGGCAGTTCCTTTGAAGTGCCCCTGCCTGAAAAGCGAAGAACCAACAGTATCTGTAAAATGGATGTGCGCGCAGAACTCAAATTCTGGAACAAGATTAAAGTCCAGATGTGGATTAGCAACCAGTCAAAACATATGATGCTTTGTTTCTCTTTCTTTTCTCTCTCTCTCTCTCTCTCTCTCTGTCTTCTCTCTGTCTCTTCTCTCTGTCTCTGTGTGTGTGTGTGTGCTAGAAAGCACTGTTGCTTGTGATTTTTGGATGTTACTTTCTATAAAACGTGTACATTCAATAATTTGTGGCATTTTTCTGCAGGAACTTCGAATGGAAGATTACAGCGCTAACCGGAAATCAAAACAGGCAGGCTCAACCAGCACAGTGGGCTTATTTAGTCAGACTCCAGCTACTCAGGCAAACACAAGTTTTGTGTTTGGAGGTGGTCTGGGTTCGAGTCTTCAGACAAGCACAACAGGCTTTGGAAGTAGGTCGATAGCCTGTTTGTATTTTCTTTGCAGCGATTAGTTACTCTTGTTTCTAACTGTTATTGCCAATAAGGATTGTCACTGACATATCCTCTGTTCATTCTGATTATAATTTTGTAAACCAACCTATTTTTTTTCAAAACTATTTACAGATTTTGGCAGCACTAGTTCTGCAGCGACAACACCTTTCAGCCAAAATAGGCCTCTGTTCGGGACAGCCACAACAACCCAGTCCGGGTTTGGTTTCGGTACTTCAACAGCGACTCAGCAGTCCTCCTCCCTCTTTGGAAGTCCTGCTAGGGTAATTTTGTTTTTGTGTCTTCCTTAATACATTTCTTCTTGACTTATGACCTTTGTGACTTATCAACCATCCGCACTTACAACCACATACAAACACACACACAAAAGTAAAGAAAGAAAGATAACTGCTTTGGTAGGGTCAGACAATTTCTGGAACAAATGTAATAGAGTACAAATAATGTATTTTTTACATTGTGTATAATAATTGTATGTACACAGACGTTTTTTTTTTTTTTTTTGCAGGGGGTGGGGTAGAGTTTTTATAACCCTTTAAATTAAAATAATATAAGTTCAACTTATGATCTATTGGTCGGAATGGAACTAGGTCATGTGTTGAAGAGACCCTGTAGTTATGTTGATACCATGCCATTCACATGGCAGTTGTAGGTAGAAGTGGGTAACAACCAGGACTTTCTGCCTGATTTTACAGCCGTTGAACGCAAAGACCTAAAATTAGTAGGCAAGAGACTGACTAGCTTGTCCCATAGGAAAATTACCTGTAAAATCGAGCCAGTACTGAGCATGTCTGATGTTACTAGGTTGTGGGCCTATGCTCCATTATGAAAATAAAGCCAGAGGAAGACATGTCTGATCATAGGGCATATTAATGTTTATTTGACTTTGTAAGACTCATCATCATGTAGCAAGTCCTTTGCAGAACGTCGCTCTCATCACGGTCTGCCTGAAAGAAACTCGGTCTCTCACCAGTTCCCTCGCCTCATGTACTTTCATAATCAAGGACTCACTTATATCTTGTGTCCATCTTCGTGTCGGTCGGGCCCTGCCTGAAAGGCAGATCTGTACAAATGGATGCACACGCAACACTCAGGTTCTGGAACAGGACTGCAGTCCAGAAGTGGTTGAACAACCAGAACTTTCTGCCAGAGTTTACAGCTGGTAAATTTGAAGAAGAAGAAGAAATATGGTATACTGTGCCCTACATCTGCTCAAATCAAATGCTCTGTCTCGTAAAAAACCAAAGTCACAATATGTACAACGCTGGTTAGACTAGTTGTTCTAATTGGCTGTACAGCCTGGAGTACAACTCAGATATGAAGCCTTATTACAGACCTTTGAGAACCGTCCCACACACACACACAAAAATTCCACCTATCAAAGATGCAAACAGTAGAGAAAGGAGAGGGAGAAGCAACAACAGATTTCATAATCTGTTTATATCATCATTGATCACTGGCATCATGAGGGCTTAAACTGTATACAAAAGAGTTCAGCGTTAGTAGACTACGAGACGGACTAAGAAGAAGGTAGAGAGGTAATTTACGAGGAGTGGGGGGGGGGGAGAGGGGGGACTAACCAGTAAACTCACAGTCAGTCACTTCATTATCTGTTTATGTTGTTACGGCAGATGTGTAAATAAATCATGGACAGTTAGATGATTAGTGAAATTTTTTTTTAAAGCAGTGGAGATGTTTTATAAACGAATGATGAGAGTATACCCTGGACTGATCAAAAGATTAATGCAGATGTATTGAAAGAAGTGACTCTAGAAAGGAACAGTCTACATTCTGTGGTCATGCCTTGAGGCGGAGAAAACTGGAGTACATCGTGGAGGTAGAAAAGTTGGAAAGGGAAAAAGGCTGAGAGAGAAGATGCTGGATGGTTCGACATCATGGCATGGAAGATTATTTTTGTCAGAACTGATTGAAAGTACACAAAACTGAAGGTGGTTGATAGATGTGACTACCGGCACCACACAGCATGGACTATAAGTTACTGCATCATGCTTGGGATAAGATGAAATACAATATATTGCACTGTACATTGTGATTTGTATTGCTTGTGTTCTTATTATTGACATTATTATACAAGTGCTGGTCATTTTCTCCCCAGCCTTTGTTTGGAGGTACAACCTCAACCCAGCCCTCGTTGACTGGAGGATCCAGCTTTTTTGGAGCATCAGCTGCTGGGGCATCCAATCCAGTCGGATTTGGTACCAGCACACAAAGTGTGAGTAATGTTTGGCTTTTTGTTTCTGTATCAGTACAGATACATGGGTGGAGGGCGGTGTAGGCTAATTGTCATTCTTTCAATTGAATACTGTTGTTGGCAACTTTCCATTTTTCAAGACAGTAGTATTATATCTTGCTTGGGGGGAGGGGGGGAGTTGTAATATAGTTGCAATACGGAACTTGCCATAAAAAAATATATTTAAAAAGTATATATGTAGTACGAAACATGCCATTTATCCCTGTCGTGTCGTAGGACTGCCCAATGTTGCAGGGGTGTCACGCATTACATTTTTTCGCATTGTTGTCATAAGCTGCATGCAGTCCTAAGATGTGGGCTGCACTCTCTCTTGAGGCTGTGGCATAGGAGAGTTTTGGATCGTTAAAAGTGCTCACATCGTGGAATATATACCATACGATATCGCTGGCTGGTGACGACATGGCATAGTGTTTGTTGTGTTGCTGGACACTCACTAAGTGTGACACCTCCCGCAACATAGGACAGGCTCAACATGGCATAAATGGCAAGGAAAGTCACTCTCTTTCTATGCCCGAGTTCAGGAGTTGTAGCACAATAGTTTTTTTTCCTGGACTGAACTGATGGAAACTGTGACAATTGAAATATAAATTTAAAATCCTGCATTATGAAGACACAAAAAAACGTGTTTCAATTTCTGTGGTAGCCATGTAGGTTTCTTAATCTTCAGGTTGTGAGGTGTAATGTGCCCAGAGAAGACAATGTGATTTGTATATTTCAGGGGAGAGTGCTTCTTACGTTGATATAACTAGTAATCCAGTAGATGAGGTACAGCGAAAAATGGCTATTGTAATCTTATTTGGCCGAGAGTTAAAGTTTCTTCTAGTGGTAACACCACAGTTGAAGGTTCACACAGTAGCCACGAGTCGTTACCTAGGATACGTACGAGCTAATTGAATTCTGGGCGTAGAACACAAAGGCCCAGGAAGTTGAGATTTTTCCATTGTCCAAGTCGGACGTTCCTCTTTGTGAGGTTTTGATTTACCGTTGTTTGCGGGAGACAGTTTAATGTCTGTTTAGTCTGGCAGGAATACATTGAGAAAAGATTGTAATCTTTTATATCATCAAAGTAGATAATAGAGATTTATTATCGTACATATTTAAATGAATAATCATCATCATATTGTGACGTGTAATGTTAATGACATTAAAGTTTATGTGGCCTGTCACAAGCGTTATTGTTGACTCGTAAAGATAACAACTGTATTAGATGATGCTGTGCCAAGTGTGCCAGTATGCAGGACTTCACTGTAGCACATCCATCAAGGAGATATCCAGCGGAATGTTAGAGTAGACACCCTAGGCCTAAATACTTGGTTGTTGATACTAAGGAGTATCAGTGCGTAAACATACATGTTGAATATACAGTGTACAAAGTGTACAACAATGGCAAGCAGTAAATTATGCAGTGTATTGTTTGTGTATGCCAAATTTAAAAAAGTCTACACTGGGTCTTCACCGGCGGTAAACTCTGGCTTATTTGTATGCTGACTGCTGGTACAGAGCCTCTCGGTCATCTGTATTCTGAATTCAGAGGAGTAGGCTTTGACGCCTGTGGTGATCCTTTAGGAGATAATAGGTAAAAACAGAAGGAATAGATATCCCTAGTATACCTTTAGTCACGTAAACAGGTTTATTTCACTTGTATCTTGTCCATAAACAGGGAGGATTGTTTGGAGCAGCTAAGCCAACAGGTTTCGGCACAGCCACCACACCGTCGATTGGCTTTGGAACTGGAGGAAGCCTGTTTGCCAAGCCCACATCACAAGCCTCAACGTTTGGGTTTGGAACTAACACTAGCACTGCTGGATTTGGGAGTAAGTTTCTTTATACATTTTTACACACCTTTATAATCATCATCAGTTAGATTGTTAAAGATTTTCAAAAACAGCACTACAGTGAATCTTTAAACCCATCTAAGTTGCAGACACAAAAGAATGAAACGTTTAAATCACTATTGCTCATTGGCATCATGAAGGCCAATAGATTAAAATTGCTGGGGCATATAGAGATGATAGTAGACACTAGAGAGGCAAAAACTGCACACAGGAGAGGTGGGTGATATATCTGCACCACTGCAATGAACCTGGGTTAGAAGCAGAAGGGCTCATAGTACGACACAGATGTCAGAATTATTTTACACCTTGTTTGTGTTGTGCTGTTTGTTCTTCCTCCCAGTTTCCAGATTAGAAGACCATAGGCCTCAGTAAAGACTGTCTTGTGATGCATCCTGTGTTGATCCATACAGCTTAGTTCAGTGATTTCCAAACTGTGTTCTGCTGCACCCTCTGGAGCCGTGACCTCTTCACAGGGGCGCCGCAAAACATTCACAGATACATGAGTTAAATTTTTTTCTTTCTTCTTTTTACATTCGAATAGTCATACTTTTACTTAGGTTAGGGCGACGCGGAAAAAATGTAATTGAAAAAAAGCGCCGCGACTAAGAAAAGTTTGGGTACACTGGCTTACTTTAATCCGGAATGCCGACTGGTCAGACAAGTGATCTCTCTACCACATGAAGACAGCATGCCTGTAACACATGTTGAGCATTCTGTGGTGCCTTTCCACATAGGCAAAGTTCCATGTCCACAGTCTTGAATTTCTTGTACATATCATTGCCGTGAGTGTTGTGTCAGTTTACAGTTTAGACACAGTAATCTGAGAAAGGTGGAGACAGGCATACTCTGTGCAGGAGTGGCAAGCATCACTTCAGAGGTCCTGGGTATTTAGCATACTTTGGATATTTTCTCCAGGTCATGCCGATGTGTTGGGAAATGAGCAGGCGGTTAGAAGGGCTGGTTCTGCACCACTTGGTGATGAAATGATGTATGACAAGCTGGATGTTGTGACGGCCCTTTGTGAGCGAGTGAACAGTGCCGAGGACCAAATAGATCATTATGGTCTGAGGAGAATGACACTGCAAGGAGTTACAAGAATATCTGGCTGACGCTCAACACTCACGGGAAGGGCGAGACGGATATACAGTCAGACAGTTACTAGTACCATCAGAATTTTAACGCTTCGCTTGCTGCCTAAGATGGGGACGGAGTGCTTATGGGAGTGTCCCAAGTGCTGTGATGTCGATTCTTAATTCGACATTCAACACAGTAGTCTGTTGCTTTGAGAAGATCCACTGAGTCTTCAGGATTGTCTTTTGGATGAGATGGGTTCCAACGGCTGCCTTGATCTGAGTTTTGTTTTCATCATTAGTGCAACTTATATCTGGATGTTCTTTATTGCTCCCAATGTTTGCTAAGTAGTCTGCTGTTTCACTTCCTATTGCAGATACAACAGGAGGTGGTCTCTTCAGCAGTATTAAGCCTACAGGATTTGGTACAGCAACCACAGGCTTGGGAACTGGAACATCATCATTTGGGTTTGGGGCTGGGCTTGGTACAGGAACAGCAACTAACACGTTTGGTTTACCTGCAGCAAAACCAGCCTTTGGAACTGGTTTCTCATTTGGGGGTGGAACCTCCGGAACCACAGGTAATTGCTTGATTGATTGGTCGGTTTGAAACCTGTTTCTTTGAGGTATTTGATAGATTTTGCAAAGTAGTATCCTTTGCATCTCTAATGAGAACTGTCTCACTGTTGTAAATATGTGGATATAGCAAGACTGTTAAACATATTCAATTCCATTTTCTAAATGGCGATGAATGGCTGTGTTTTTTTTCCAGGGGCTGTGATTATTCTGAGATTGTTCTGTTCCTTTGTCACAGGCGGCTATTTTATGCTCGTTTCCATTTTTGGATACTATATTTTTCATGGGAGCAGCAGGTATTGTGGTTGTCTTGACCACGCTGTGCTCGTACTATTATGATCTGAGAAGACAGAATCTTATGTGGGGGGGGGGGGGGGGGGGGGGGGGCTGAAACTAGAGAGCAGACTTTTTTTTTGGGCAAGAAGCAATCGACACATACAGTTAATTAAATGGCCATGCCTGAAGATGCTCTGCATGATCATCCTTTGTGCGGACTGACCATCTGTCTTTATTACCAGTGAAGGTCCCTTTTTATGGCAGTAGCGCACTGGGCTGGACTCGTATTTTTATAGACTAATTAGTATGAGTGGTGTGGTCAGCATCATGCCAGCCACCTTGACTTCCCAGGACTTTACCTGCTACCCATTTAAGGCTGCTTTACTGCCATTATTTACCATTTTCTAGGTCTTGAGGATTTAGGGCCACATGAATAGTGCAGTCGGCACAGGCTGTACGAGTTAGGTTTTTATTTCTCCCCCCCCCCCCCCGCCCCCCCCCCCCCCCCCCCCCCCCCCACCCCCCCCCCCCCAGCATTAACACACAAAAACCAGTCACCCTATCAAGACCTTGAGTTGCCCACTCAGACAGATGCATCTCTGTGCTGTGAGTTCAGAGAGATAAACTGCCCAACTCAGTCCACACTAAATACAAAAGTGTATAGACCACAGAAATTCCTGAGCGTCTGTCTTATAGTGTAATCAGAGAAAAAAGTAGAGTTTCTAACAGATGTAAAGAGGAACCCTCTAGAGTATCACACACATGTAAGGGGAAACCCAGTTGATTATCTGACAGATGTGAGCGGGAACCTAGTAGAGTATCTAACAGATGTAAGGAGGAACCCTCTAGAGTATCAAACATATGTAAAGGGGAACCCAATAGAGTATTTAACAGATGTAAGGAAGAACCCGCAGAGTATTAATCAGATGTAAGGGAAACCCAGTAGAGTATCTAACAGATGTAAGGGGAACCCAGTAGAGTATCTAACAGATGTAAGGGGGAACCCAGTAGAGTATCTAACAAATGTAAGGGGGAACCCAGTAGAGTATCTAACAGATGTATGGGGGGACCCGGTAGAGTATCTTAACAGATGCAAGGGGGCACCCAGTAAAGTATCTTAACAGACGAACGTAACAGAGTACTACATCTGCTCATGAAAACTATAATAAATGTCTTGTGGTTTGTATTAGAAGACACAATTGGACATGTGGGCAGACATGATAAATTTGGAGAAGGAGACAAGTGGATCAAGGCGTTCCAGACTTGTGTAGGGTTCTAATCACTTTGAGTCGTGAGTGCAGGGACTGGCCAGCTGGTGCTGCAGAATCAGAGGTTCAGCAAACGATTCATGACAATTCCAGCGCAAGTGATGTGATTATCTATACAGATGGCTTTGTGTTGAGAGGCAGACGAAGTGCAAGGGGGGTTCATAGCAAAAGCGAATGGACGTCGCTTAATGCAACAAAGCCTTGCATATGATATCACTTTTAGTTTTAGAATTAAGGTGGAGGCAGTCACTGCTGCTTCCTGCAGGCTTGAGAGTCAGTTGTACACACATGCCGTGATTGTAACTGACTCACAGAGCATGTGGATTCAGGCATGGTGCGTGCAGATTGGTAAGCATCAATTCAGAGGTCCCGGGTAGTTAGCACCCTTTGGATATTTTCTCCTGGTTATGCTGGTGTGTTGAGAAATGAGCAGGCAGATAGGCTGGGCGGCTCTGCACCACTTGATGGGGAATTGATGCATGACAAGCTAGATTTTGAGAGCTAGTAAACAGTGCAGAGGCACATCATTACGGTCTAAGGAGAATGGCGCTGCAAGGAATTACCAGGGGATCTGGCAGACACTTTACACTCAGGGGAAGGGCAAGATGGATATACAATCAGACGGTTACTGGTGCCATCAGTATTGAAACTCTTCACTTCCTGCTGAAGATGGGTGACGGAGCGCTTATGGGAGTGTCCTGAGTGCTATGATGTTGATTCTTAATTTAACATTGGTTTGTATTGTTATGAGAAATGAACCAACCCGACTTTGAGATAATTTGTTCATTATTTTTTTTTTCACAGCATTTGGCAGCACTTTAGGAAGTACAAACAATCCGATCGGCAGTCTTAATCTAGGAGGGGCTGGCACTAATTTGGGCATGTAAGTACTGACTGCTTGTTTCTGTGTTACTTTTATTATTTTATCCTTTCATTGGTTGGGTCAGTACATTTCATTCCCCCCCCCCCCCCCCCACCACCCTTTTCTGCCTCACACTCACCATGTGTGATAAGCTGTTTTGGATAAAGTGGTTCTGAACCATGTGTTGTTGCACCAGGAGCAGGGCTCACACTTTTCCATAGTTAACTCTTGTAGTCCCAAACAACGCACCATGTGTGGCTGGATTTACTGATATGCACCAGTTAACAAATGCTTGTACATTTTTGTTTAGTTGGAGCCAGCTAAAACACATTTGTCTCCACCAAGGGATGTATATTTGGGCCCTGTGGATGTAGTACCAAGTTTGTTGATTTCACAACTGATTAATTGGTGTATCAACTATGACCTTCTGAGAGGGTGAGGGTTAAGAGAGAGAACCTGATTGACAAATAAGACAATTCTTAAGAGACTTAGAGACTCCTTCAATGAAATGGAGTCAAACGTTCTTTTAAAAAAAAAAAGATTTTCACTGGAAGAAGGGGTTAGAGCCTGGAACAAGGTCAAAGTCCAGGTGTGGACAAACATCCGGGACTTTCTGTCAAAGTTTACAGCCGGCGAACGAGAAGAAGAAAGTTATATCTCTGTTGTTGTCCAAATTATACCATAAGGCCAAGCAAACTCAATCGTCATTTAATTGTTTTGTTAGGAATAAGAAACAAATTGGCTATTTCTGACGTGTACCAGTCATGTGTCTTGTGTGATTTTTACCCCTTATGTTTGGATAGGATATGCTAAAGAAATGTGCCAGTTTTTTTGTGTTTGAAGTTAAAATATATATTTGGTTATCACAGTTAAAAATAGTTCTGTCTAACATGCAAGAATCTTTTTCTAACTTTCAGTATAAACAAGTTGTATAAGATATTCCTAATTTTGAGAAAGGTACTTCTGCAGTATTATCTTAATTGTTCTGTGCAGGGGTGCTACAGCACCTACCCAGAGCAACAGCAACCAGCACCTTCTGGCACTAGCCTCCTCGCCTTATGGGGACAACCCTTTGTTCTGGAACCTGAAGCAGGTAAGTAAATTCATTGTTTGATAATTAATGTTTAGAAGAATTTGTTGCAGCAAAGTGTTCAGTCCATTTGCCTTATGTTGAGAAGACCTTGGGTTAGTTTAATCGACTTTACAGGTTAGTTTCATCAACTTTGTGGATTGCTTTCATCAGCATCTTATGTTAATTTCATCAACTTTGTGGGTTAGTTTCACAAACTTCGTGGATTGCTTTCATCAGCATCTTGGGTTAGTTTCATCTACTTTGTGGTTTCATCTTATTTGTGGGTTGGTTTCACAAACTTTATAGATTGCATTCATCAGCTTTGTGGGATTCGTTTCATCAACTCGTGTGTTAGTTTCACCAACTTCATGGATTGCTTTCATCAGCTTCATGGGATTGGTTTCATCAACTCTCGGGTTAGTTTCACCAACTTCGTCGGTTGCTTTCATCAGCTTCTTGGGTTAGTTTCATCAGCTTCTTGGTGGGTTAGTTTCATCAACTTGGTGGGTTAGTTTCATCAACTTGGTGGGTTAGTTTCATCAGCTTTCTGGGTTAATATCATCAGCTTCATGGGTTAGTTTAATTAACTTTTGTAATGTCTTCTTTGCGTTCACCCGCTGTAAACAGCCACAGAAAGTTCTGGTTTTTTTCATCTTCAGTTTTGTTCCAGAACTTGATTTTTGCATGCACAGTGTTTTAGAGATCTGTCCTACCTGTATGCAGGCTGTTGGTTCCTCGCCTTCCAGGCAAATGCACTCCGACTTCAAAGAAAACACCTTAATTAGTTAACTTTTACCCCCGTATGGGTTCCGGGGCCCCATTGTAGGGGAAAACAAGAATAGACTCACTGCCTACCCAAAAGCATGTCGTAAGAGTCGACTAATTGGGGAGCTTCCTTTGAAGTCGGAGTGCATCTGCCGGAGAGGCAAGGAACCAACAGTCTGTATTCAAGAGAATGAGATCTGTAAAACTGATGCACACGCAACACTCAGGTTCTGGAGCAGGACTGCAGTTCAGTAGTGGACGAACAACCAGAACTTTCCGCCAGAGTGTACAGCTGGTGAACGTGAAGAAGAAGAGGTTAACTTTTAGAACATGCTTGTTAAGGGGTCAGTGGGTCTGTTTTTAAATAGGACCCCGGAATCCACAAAGGATTTAGTAATTTGATTTTTAGGTTACCTTGAAAATTTTTCTTTTCTCATGGTCTATGCAGCCTTCGTAAAATATTTATTGTAAATGTGATGTGTAGGGAGCTGTCAGTGTAAACATTTAGCTTAAACTTTCCATTATTTCTGTGGCTACAGGCACAGTATAACAATTTTTTTTTTTGTTTAAAACAAAAACAATTTATTCCAGTATTTTTTTCTTCTTTCGACTTCTTTGGTGTTGTGATTAAATCTTGTCAATTCTCTGTTTTTATTTTCCAGCAAAGTAAAGATCGTAGAGATGACGCCTTGAAACCTACCAACCCCAACGCCCAGAAAGCTGCCTTATTCTCAGCAAATCGGCCAAAGGTTAGCCCTCGACCGACTACAAAGATCAAGCCAAAATCACTTCACTCCCTTCTTAGTGGAGGGAAGGTAAGAAATCTATACAGATACATAATTTCTGCTACATGAAATGTTAAATGAGCTGAATTCACATTCTTTTTTTTATACGCTTTTATTAAATTTGGTTTTTCATATTTTTGTTGTCTGAAACAGTTTTTCTATTGTTATCATATTCTTTTAAGTTAACTCCTCTGAGGCAACATGAAAGTGAATCATTTGTGATATAATAAACACTAAAAATAAAAATGACCTTTGGACATAGTTTTCATAGAAAAGTTATTAGAATACAAGAAAACAAAATGTCTGAATGGACATTTTTTAAACCCCAATTTCTGTGTTGTATTTGTGGACACATTATTTAACTCATCTTTCTCTGTTGTAGTAGGCACATTATTTGTCTTCACATTTCTCCGTTGCATCTTTAGGCACAGTTGTTTGATGGGCTAGAAGATGAAGACTTTAGCTTCGGCGATGACACCTTTATTCCCCGCAAGAGTGTGAAGAAACTTGTCCTGGGAAAAAGGACAAGTAACAAGTCACTTGCAGAGTCAAGCTCGGTCTACAGTGACACAGTTGGAGATGTCACATCTCAGCTGGACGAGTCCTGCAACAGTAATGGCCCAGCAGTTACACCCATTACCAGGTGAGTTTGGGGTCATTTTTGTGAGTTTCTTCAGCCTCCTGAAAGGATCCCTTTCCGCGCCTTTACGCATATTGGGCATATAGTGCTAGCCCTGTATTTTATAGCACTACATGCACTCTGTGGGTGATATAGTCACATTATGCCAGCCGCCTATATTTCCTAGGACTTACTGTGGTACTCATTTAAGAATGGGTCAAATTGGTAGCCCTGGTCATTTTGAAGGGGGGGGGGGGGGGGTCTCAGGCTTCATTCGGATTTGGATCCACAAGCGAATGTCTAGCCGCCACACCACAGCAGCTCCGATTTTTTTTTAATAGGAAAATTATTAACAAGAGAACAATTCAGCTCAACCCGGCAAGATCATAGTCTTCTGTGGTCTCAGAAATCTGTAACAGATTTGCATGCCTGATTCCTAAAAAAAATTTTTATATAAGTAATTCTCTGTTAACATCCCTAGTATTTAAAGCTATTTAAAGGTCTTTAACATACTTAGGAATGTCTGCTGAGTTCGTAACAATTAAGAGTTCGCTAGCGTCTGCTGTTGAAAAGTCTAACAATTTAGGATCCTTAGTAATTTCTGTTGGAAGGTCTGTTACCTTTTAGTGTTTTTAGTAATGTGTGCCATCAGGTCTCTAGCAATGTATGCAGTCGGAAGGTCTGTAACATTTTAGCTTCTTTTTTTTTTTTTTAAGTAATGTGTACTTTTGGAAGGTCTGTAGCATTCCAGCGTTCCTCTTAATGTATGCTATCTAAATGTCCATATAACTTATCGTCCCCAATGATGTAAGCTGTTGGAAAGTTCATACAATTTAGCATCCCTTGAAATGTTTGCTATCAGAAAGTTAATGCAGTTTAGCATTTCTAGTATTGTAGGCTGTTGGGTTAATATAGACCTGCAATCTGTCATTTTGATGGGTGTGTACATTTTCAGGCCACTAAGAACATGCCGGGAAGATAACGAGTCGGACAATGAGGCAGATGCCATAGTGCTTGAGCAGCAGACACCAACTGGTCGAAATGGGGCTGTTCTTCAGTAAGTGTATTGTCTTTTCCTTCATTTATTTCCTGGCCTGTTGTGCCATTCATAGCAAACGGGTCACCACGCGGTTGCTCCGCTCCTGTGCCAACGAAAACCTCCAAAATTGTTTATCACAGTCCCCCTTGTGGAAAGCTTGACACACTGCTGTCTCAGCATATGCGCTAGATCTGGTAATCTTAGTTTCAGCTTCATAGCAAACGGGTCACCCCACAGTTGCTCCGCTCCTGTGCCAACGAAAAACACCCAAAATTGTTTATCACACTCCCTTGTTGATAGATTGACAGACTGCTGTCTCAGCGTATGTGCTAGCGCAATCACTTCAATATCATGGATCCTCCCAGTCCAGCACCTTTGGCTTCTGTCATCATCGCTCACCTTAGAGTTTCTCTTGCACATCCACGCTTCCTGAGTCCTATTTCCCATTTCAGTGCCTGTTTGGTAACTGTTCCTTCCCAGAATGTGTCCACTGTAGCGCCATCTTCTTTGTCTTATAACTGTTGTTACTAGTGGTTGCCCAGACATTTCTCGTATTTCTTCACTCATCTTGAACTCATCCCATTATATGTTCATTTTCCTCAGGCATTTTATTGTCTATTAATGGCCATATTAATGTGATTCATAACAATCTTTGAAAAAAAAAACACTTTCACTTCATTCACATTTTTTGTTAAAGTATTAACTTGCCCTAGAATGTGAAACATAACCAGAATGCTGCATAAATAATCAGTTTCCTTACATCCAAACATCTGGGTCAGAGAGAGGTGGAACTTGTTTTTATGAGTACAGGACACACACACCTCCCCCCCCCCCCCCCCCCCCCCCAGTGTGGGTTCCGGGGCTGCAAATGCTACAGACGTATTTTACGAATTAGTTTTTTTTAGAACATGAAACAAATAAATGTGAGACAAAATATACAAATTTGCGGGACATCAGAAACCTCTCTTGGCAGTTTTGAAATGTAGCAAGCTAGCTTGGTGACATGATTCGGTTGCAAAGACTGTACTTCAAAGAACATTGGGTGGGGGTCGAAGAAGAGGGTAAAGAAGAACCTAGAATTACAATATCAAGAAATGGGCAGGACTAAGTTATCATACACTTATTTATCAAGCAGAAGACAGAGAAAGATAGCCGGTTTTGTGTGCTAGTTCTTCAATCAATACACCTCTACGACCCTAATAGGTCAAGGGTTATGTTATGGGGGAGGGGGTAATAGACATACACCCCCCCCCCCCCCCCCCCCCCCACTAATCATGTTGTATAAAGCGACTTCTAGGGAAGTTTCCTATGGAGTCCTGAAGTGAATGAGCAACTAGAACTTTCTTCTGGAGCTTACAACCAGTGATCACAACAACAAAAGGGAGTACAGCAATACAAATTGGAGGTAATTGTTTTGGAAAGTAAAATTAAAGGAGTACCTTTCTTGCACCAGTGGCACATCGGACATAAATGTTGGACGATAAATGTGTGATATGTTCATCACGTCAGCCTCCTTTACTTCCCAAGACTTTATCTGATGCCCATATAAGGCTGGCTTGACCTGAGAGCATAGGTATTGGGGGGGGGGCAAACTTGATGTGATTCAAACCAAGGGCCTTCAAGCTCTTAAAAGAGCTTCTAGCTACAGCAGTTTTCATCTTACCCTTCTTTAATTGGTCGTGCTTATTGGTCAGGGCCAAGTGCTCTTTTAGGTGCTCTTAAGACCTCCTGTGTCACACTCCGTAATTACTCGATTGTCTTGCAGCCCTTACATTCTGTTACCGCTTCCTAGAGATCTGTTACTGCCTGTTTACATGACCCGCAATTACACTTGTAATTGTAGCCCTTCATTGTAAGTTGCTTTTCTCCACAGAAACAACAGTCTTGATGACAGTATTTTGGCCATGAAACAAAGAAAGGATTCGAACCCAAATCATGGAGGCAACAGGCTGAGTGCTGCAGATACTACATCCTTTTTAAGCAACTCTGATCTGGACAACAGTTGTTTGGTAAATTGAACCTCCATATTTGTGTGTGTTCATTTCTCTTTTTCTTTCTCTGTTACTCTTATTTTATGTTGTTACTCTTATTTTATGTTTGGTTAAAAGGGTTGCAGTGAGAAAGAGTTGTATAGTGTATTATACAGAACCTGTGTTATGCATGTAAGACAGTGAACGAACACTCTTTATTTTCAAAGGGTCACAGATTGGGTACGCTGGCACTTTCAAATGCTCAGCTTTCAAACTGTAATTGTGTTGTATCTTTAAAGCATAAAGTATAACAACATTAGTATTACAAATAAAATACACACAACATGGATGGTTAATGCATACCTTCAAATATGCATACATACCGAACACATTCATATATGCATACACAAACAAATGCACGTGGACACATATATACATACATACATACATACATACATACATACATACATACATACATACATACATACATACATACATACATATATACATACCTTCAAGGGTAACTCAGTAAGTTACAAATGGTTGTTTAAAAAAAAGCTAAAGATGATAACTTATTAACAGTTTTTTTTTTTTACCGGTACACTGTCTCTATATTTTTTCATCACGATTTCTACCAACATTGATGCACGTGTCCCATTGTTTTATCAGTTTTCCTAAACCTGCTGCATTGAACTGCGTTCTGTTTTTTCTAAACCACATTTTCACTTTACATTAAACTTCTGCATCACTCGTGAAATGTCTCCTGCCAAGGTGGATTTTCAGTGGAACATTATGGTGAATGCTGAACCACATGAGCACCCTACAGAGCAGCTGCTACAGAGTCAGCCGTTATTCACCTGTCACCTCTAATCATCTACTCCACCCGCTGCAGGGATACGTCTACTGCAATCAGGACGACCAGATTAGACTTCATCGACAATTCTAGAGGGTCCTTGGGAAAGATTTTTTACCCAGCTATGCACCGCTTTAGGGGATAAACATTATTCAGCATAAGCAGGAAGCATTTCCTTATAAATGCCCTCTACAGGCAGTTTCCCCCCCCCCCCCCCCTTTTTTCCCCAAAGCACTACAGCACATTGTTCTTTGCTGTGAACTGGGAGCCAGATAGAGAGCTTCTTCTGATTTCTTCTTTCTTCTTTGTGCTCACCAGCTGTAAACTCTGGCGGAAAGTTCTGGTTGTTTGTCCACCTCTGGAAGTTAGTCTTGTTCCAGAACCTGAGTGTTGCGTGCACATCTATTTTACAAATATTCCTTATTTGTATGCAGACTGTTGGTTCCTTGCCTCAGGCAGATGTACTCTGAATTTGAGGAAGCTCCCAATCAGTCAGCTCTTACGACATGCTTATTGGGAAGGCAGTGGGTCTATTGTATTTTTTCCCTACAGTTGGACCCCTGAACCCATACAGACCAAAAAAAACCGAAACAGATCAGAGAAATTCAACAGTTTGCGTTGGTCAGACCTGTCACTGAAAGAAAGATATGGCTGTCATAGTATAGTGGCTATACACTGGTCGCCGGTTTTGAGGTCGTGGGTTTAAATCTAAACAGAGCTGTGCTAGTTTCAGAAATGACCCTAGCTTCCAGGTCGACCCAGCCTTAAATGGGCACCATGTATAATCCTGGGATGTAAAGGCGGCCGGCATGATATTGACCACCTCACCGAGTGTCAATTGGTCTATAAAATTTAGGCCCAGCTTCATATGCCCAAAGCGTCTGAAGTTGGGGAAAGGGGTCCTTGACTTTGTTGTGAAAAGGATTTGGTCACCATTCACATCATGCTTGTTAGAGGCGTATGTGGCTCAGGCGTTGCAGATGTGCTTCCCACTGCCGTGGTACCGGTTCCCACCCCAGCTGCAGGTGATGCGGCAGCAGAGCGTCTTGCGTTGGTTTTGACAGTGACACCCAGAGCTGGCCCTTCAGAAAGCAAGACAAACTGATCTAGGTAATAAAAAAAAAAATTGCCTAGAAAAAAAACCACAATGGCCATAAAAATTATGTGAGTTGGTTCTACAGTGTCGTATGAAGGATACGCAACTGTTTTTTTTTTTTCTGCATCCCCCCCCCCCCCCCACCCCAAATGGTGCACCTGAGACCATACAGGGAAAACTGTTGACTGTTAAGTGAGACATGTCTTTCTGTTTACCCAATTAATTCTTGTTCTTTAAATTTATCATGGTGGCAGCCTGTGGACCGGAGCACCCCACACCCTACAGGGATCACACTGACCCGCCCTGGCTACTACACAGTCCCGTCGCTGGATGAAATGATTGACCTGATCGACGAAAATGGCAACTGCCTGGTTGAGGATCTCGTCATCGGCCGAGTCGGCTACGGAAATGTTTTCTTTCCCGGGGTCACAGATGTGACAGGATTAAACCTGGATGAAATAGGTATGATCTTATTCTTATGTTTACATTTCTTTCAGAGGTAGATATAGAACACAGGTAGATACAGTGGTTATAGAAACTGAAATAAATGTCTTAGTTTGAATAAAGAAAAGACATAAATAGTCTTTTGTTTTATTGGTATTATCTGTCTGTAAACTTCAGCACAATGTGCTTTTTTTGGTTCCTGGCCTCTCAGGCCAATGCATTCCGACTTCAAAGTAGACAGCCTTAATTAGTCGCCTGTTAGGACATGCATATTAAAGGAGAGTGAGTCTGTTTCTTTTTCCCACTAAAATGGGAGCCCCTGAACCCACACTGGGAAGATGAACGGTAATTATCATAGTTCCCCTAACACCGCATATTTTTGGGTCACCAGTTGTTATTGACCGTCTGATCAGTTCACTCCTTCTCTGTTGGTCACATGCAATATATTTGATGTTAGGGGCCTGTCCGTTCAGCTGAATTCTGTATCCAGGTCTTTCATGGTCTGCCTCATCTCCTGTTCCTTCCTTTCTGCAAGGGCTGTGTGGGCCTTGAGTGTTAGAGGTTCCGAGTTCGATCCCCAGTAAGGCATGAACTTGGACATTTAGTAACTCCTGGTCTCTGGGTAGTGTATTGTTGCACACGTAAAAAAATCCCTTTGCAGTTGAAAATCGTAAAGAGTAGCCTTTCAGCGCTGCAAAATTTGGAGTTAAACATCTACCCAAAGTATTTCAGGATCCTCATCGGTCCTGCAGAGCCTGTGCTTTGTGCTGAGCTTCTTCTGACTCAGACTTAAGTTAGAAGAGCGAAGCACTTATGGGTTACTACCCGTGTGCCTTGATGTTGATCTGTTGTTCAAACTTCCTTTCTACATAACCCTGTAGTATCCTTTTGGGGAGGCCAGTGGATGTTGTTAAATGTCTGTACAATTGAGTTTTGTGGTTTCATTGTAAACAGAAGTTTGTGGTTTCAATGCATTGTCGAGTGATGATACGTTGAGCTTCATTTGTGAAAATAGCTAAATATCTCTTGTGTTCAAACAGTTCACTTCCGGCGCCGAGAGGTTGTGGTATACCCAGATGATGATAAGAAACCCCCACTTGGTCAAGGTTTGAACAAGAAAGCTGAGATCACACTAGACTGTGTGTGGCCATCTGACAAATCTACCAGAAGTCCAATCAAGGTTGGTCATTTGCTTGATTCTATCCAGCAGCTGTCTTTTTAAAAAAAAATTTTTTTTAATTAGTTTGTTGTGTCTTTACTGTTTTACCAGTGACAGTTGGAGCACCCCTAAAGATATGGAACAAAGTTAAATCTATTCGAAATCAAATGCCTGTGAAAAATAAGGAACATAAATGGGATCCATTCAGTAATGGTGAAGAAATAAAAGAGAAATGGGCAACCACTAGTATCAAGTTATATAAGACAGTAGATGGCGCTGTATCGGACACATTCTAAGAAGAGGCGAACAGAAAATCACCAGTCAGTCAGCGCTGAAATAGGAAACTGAAGAAACGATGACATCCCGTAGAATCCTCTAAGGTGAACGTTGATGGGAGAAGCCAAAGCTGCTAGACTGAATTCTACCCATGATATAGAACTGATTGCACAGGGAAGGATGGAATGGAGAATAAACTGTGAGCCTAATGTGATCTATAATGGCACAATGGAGCATTGAATGAATAAATGAATAAAAAGATATGTCTTCATTGTATTATCACAGTGGTTTGTACTATGGGGCCTTTTCCTTTCTTATTTCTTTTTTTTATTTTTATTTTTTAACCTCCAGGATTGCAGTAGTATTAAAACCTAAGGGATGAGAATCAAACCTAGACAAATCCCAGAAACCCTGTCCAAATGCATAACCATATATAGCACAGTTATGATGCAGTTCCACAAAAACGATTACAGAAAAGCCTATAGTCCCGTGTGGATATGTCGGTACAGGTATAGCACAATTAAAATGGGGCATCACAAAACAGTTACAAAATAGCCTGTAGTCCAGTGTGGATATGTCTGGGTACAGTGTGATACAGCACAGTTATAATGGGGCACCCAAAAAAAAACGGTTACAGAATAGCCTGTAGTCCAGTGTGGATATGTCTGGGTGCACAGAGTGATATAGCACAATTATTGAGTTTGCTAATCATAATTTCAGAACCCAGATAGACTGAAGCTGATGAACTACGCAGAGAAACTGGAGGAAACCGCAGCCAAAATTGGTGGCAAGTTCATTGATTATCGCCCAGAGACTGGCTCCTGGGTATTCCAGGTTAGCAAACATGAAGAATTTTTGCATTTCTCTGTTTTCTTCTGACGTGTCACAATTTAATTGTAGATTATTTTAGTTTGATTTAATTTTTTTTTCATTCCTAATAGTATGTCTGATTTGTTAACAATATTTCCACTGCTTATTTTCATGTATATTTCTCAGATTTGGTGTGGACAGGGTTGAAGTAACTCTGACGGCTCTCTTGTTTAGTCGTTAATGCTTGATCTTTCCATTTGGTGATTTCTTGTTTTTGTAGGTCTGCGTGTATGTTATCTCTTTTTAGTCTTCTTGGTGTGCCTTGTGGTCTACTCCTATTCAACCATTTTGTGTACACCCTTTTTTGTGTCTCTCTCTGTTGTCTTTATTTGGGAGTAGCTGTGGGATCAAAAGGTCATGAGTTCAGAACCTGATGGCAGACCTTTTTCCAAAAAAATGATCTTGACTTCCAGGTAGATTCAGCCCTAAATAGGTACCAGATGCAGTCCTGGGAAGTAAAGGCAGCTGGTGGGTTGTTGACCACACCACCCACCGAATGCCAGTTGGTTTTAAAATATGTCTAACCCTATGTGCCCAGTATGCCTGAGGGCGTGGGAAAAGTTTGAGGGGGAGAGGGGGTTAAACTTAATAATTATGGTCAAAAATATGAATGGTCGTAGGTTGAGAAGTTGTATAGTTGTAATAACACTTTTTTCTCTCTCTAGGTCAACCATTTTTCCAAGTACGGCCTTCTTGACGATTCAGATGAGGAGGTTCTCACAGACCAGCAGAAGAAGCTTCTGGCTGGGTCTCCGTCTAAGGATGTCTTGTTAGTCCAGGTGAACTGTTGACCGTAAAATGACCATCTTGTTAGCGGGTGTAAAATGTTTGTTGGCATCCGCCTCGAATGCTGGAGGCCCCGGTGAAGGCTGGGATTTTTTCACATGGACTTCTAGTAATTTCCCCTGGTCTCTGAGTAGTGAAATTAGACGCCCATGTGCATTGTTGCCCACGTAAAGAAATCCCTTGGCAGTTGAAAATAGAAAAAGAGTAGCCTAACAGCGCTGCCTGGGCAAAATTTGGAGTTAAAATTAAAATACAATCTCAGTTAGAATTTAGTGTTAGCTGGTGTAAAATGTTTGCTTTGTTGTCAAATACAATCTCATTTAGAATTTAGTGTTAGCGGGTGTAAAATGTTTGCTATGTTGTCAGATACAATCTCATTTAGAATTTAGTGTTAGCTGGTGTAAAATGTTTGCTATGTTGTCAGATACAATCTCATTTAGAATTTAGTGTTAGCGGATCGGGAGATCGTAAGCTCGGGTCCTGGCGGCACCATACTTTTTTTTGTAATGACCTTGGCTCCCAGGTCAACCCAGCCTTGAATGGATACCAAATGGAGTCCTGGAAAGTAAAGGCGGCTGGCATGATGCTGACTACATCACTCAAGAAGTGCTGATAGGTCTAGCCCTATATGCCCAATACGTCTGAAGGCATGGAAAGTGTCCTTTTCTTTACAATTAGGTCAGAAAGAAATTTGATACAGCTTTAAAATAGCATTGCATCCAGTCGTCAGTCCAGCGATGGAAAAGTATCTGACATATGCAGTACAAAGAAAATTATTTTGGTCAGATTTAGAGATCTTTTTCTGTCAGGGACCCACAAATAGGAATCTTAACCTCCCCCGCCTGGGTTCCAGGCACCTTTTATGGGGAAAACAAGAATAGACCCACTGCCTGTCCAAAAGCTTATCATAAGAGTCGACTAGTTGGGAGCTTCATTCAAAGTCATAGTACATCTGCCTAAGAGACAAGGAACCAACAGTATGCAGATGAGTCAGACCTGTGAAACAGATGATCACGCAACACTTAGTTTCTGGAACAGGACTAGAGTCCAGAAGTGGACAACCAATCAGAACTTTGCCCCGGAGTTTACAGCTGGTGAATGTGAAGAAGAATCTTAACCTTGCACAGTTTCTGGCAACATCTCTAGCCATACGACCTTAAATCTTCAGGTTCAGGAAGCACAGTAAGTGACTATTTAAGTTTCTCAGTGCGAAAGGGGCTCACTAATTTCCGCTTCCGAAGAAATTTGGCAGTTATGTGGTGGCCTGCTTGCGTAAAGTTGGAACTTCGACTAACTGATATAACTACTTTAACTGGTCTTTGCTGCAGAATCATTTAACAAGTGTTCATCAGTTATTTTGTTTCAAATGAAGTAACAGTGATTGTAAGATATTGTGCATGATGATGATGGTGTATTGTTTAAGGATCACATTAGAATAGTCTAAACTTGTCTTTCAGAAACTCACCGTTCAACAGCAAAATATAGCAGCAAAGGAGAAAGGTCAGCTCAGGAAGGGTCAAGGTTCACTATTGAAGGAAGATCAGATGTCTCTGCAGGTTAGGATTGTATGATTTTATATGTAAGATCTGCTGGTTAGGATTGTATGTTTTCACATGTATGATCTGCAGGTTAGGATTGTGTGTGTTTATATGTAAGATCTGCTGGTTATGATTGTATGTTTTCACATGTATGATCTGCAGGTTAGGATTGTGTGTGTTTATATGTAAGATCTGCTGGTTAGGATTGTGTGTTTTTATATGTAAGATCTGCAAGTTATGATTGTGTGTTTTTATATGTAAGATCTGCAGGTTATGATTGTGTTTTTATATGTAAGATCTGCAGGTTAGGTTTGTGTGTTTTTATATGTAAGATCTGCGGGTTAGAATTGTGTGTTTTTGTATGTAAGATCTGCTGGTTAGGATTGTGTGTTTTTATATGTAAGATCAGCAGGTTAGGATTGTGTGTTTTTATATGTAAGATCAACAGGTTAGGATTGTGTGTTTTTATATGTAAGATCTACAGGTTTAGATTGTAGGTTTTTATATGTAAGATCTGCTGGTTAGGATTGTATGTTTTCATATGTAAGATCAGCTGGTTAGGATTATGTGTGTTTTTGTGCATAGGATCTGAAGGTTTAGATTGCATCTGTTTTTGTATGTAAGGTCTGCAGGTTAAGGTAGAATCTGAAGGTTAAGATTGTATTATTATTTTTTTTTGTTCATAAAGTCTGCAGGTTAAGATTGTATGTGTTTTTATGTGTAAGGTCTGCAAGTAAAGATTGTATGTGTACGGTCTGCAGATTTAGATTGTATGAGTTTGTATATTAGATATTGTGGAATGTAATCTTTCCCATTCACAGCTCTTGCATTATACCCTTGCAGTCTCTCATGACCCGTTCGTTGTGCAGTTGAAACTGCGATTACCTGGATAATCTGACTAATTATAAAATGTTTGAGGACTGTTTAAAATAATTATACCTGTCTTCCACCTGCTCAGGGTGACCTCCAGCAGGATGACCAAGATATGCTACAGGGAGAGGAGGATGACATGTTGGATGATAACAGCTATGACATGTCCGAGACCATGAATGTCAGTCTGAAGAGACGCCTGGCAGGTTTTGATGACGAAGGTACTTCATTTACATAAGTTGACAGTTAGTTATTAAGAAGCTTTTTTTCTTCTTCTTTATCTTGTTTCCGTTTCTTCTTCATCATCTGTTTCTTCATCATGCTGTTCTTCTTCTCCTGTTGTACTTTTCATCCTCTTCTTTCTCGTGTCCATCATCGATGGGGAAGGTTATTGGTTTTATAGTTTACCTATTGTTAATGTCTTCTTTTTTAACTTTTTAGCATTCATTGGTTGTGAACTCCAGTGGAACAATCTGGTTGTTCACCCACTTCTGGGCTTTGATGTTGTCCACTAATCTTCCGTAACCACATCTCTACGGAGTCCACTAATCTCAGTACTGATGATCTAAATCCGAGGTCTGAGAAAAAAAAAGCTTCATTTAATTTCAGTTTCACGCACATTATTTGGCAAATGCTTTAGTAACCCAGCAAAGCCACTGTACCATACACAGCACTTACTGTAAGCTGTTGCACGCTGGATAAAGATGAACTCAAATTATAATGTTATTACAATTATAACATATGTCACCAAAAATTTCAGAACTTTCAAACGTGGAATGAAAACAATCACCAGGGGGAAATTGATTAACATTAAATTAGGTGAATTCAACAAGGATCAACAAATAAGAGAAGTGTCTGGACAACCTCTGGTGTTGCCACTTACAAGACACAACACATCCTGAGGAAAAGTTGCCAGCGAAACACCAAAAAAGGCACTGAAATGAGAAACAAATGATTTGGTTAAACAGTGGTGTTTAAGAGAAATCCCAAGATGAAAGTCGATAAGAGATGCGGAAGATGCTGGAGTGGATTCCATCTGTGATATCAGAAAGTTTGCATAGATTAGAACCGTAAGGAGGAGTGGACTACAGGGCTTGTGTGATGTATCTATGGCACAAGGGGAGAATGATAATTTTTGCATTCAGAATAAAGGCATAGCCTGTGATGAATGAGAAGTTTAGTGTGCAGAACTGAAGTTAACCAGTCATGAGCAGGACTTTAGGATTCCTCAGGTGAGTCTGGTTTCCAGAGCACCATATGTTGACTCCGCATTCTTCCTTCGATGGTTGGAAATGCTGATGTCCTGCTCCTGTGTTTTCTTGAGGGCTGACAGGCATTACATTCAGATCTGGTCTGGCATAATTGGGGGGGGGGGGGGGGGCACCATCTGTGGACTGATAAGCAGAGAGGACCACACAAGAGTGAGACTGCAGTGTCCCACAAAACTAACAGGGTAGGCTTACCTGGGCGACACATGCCTGCAAAATTTGGATGTGTCAGCCGGAGTCACGAATATTGCAGCCATGTTGTAAACGGACACAGCACATTCATATTTTTCAGATGAACGCAAAAGAAGTATGCAGAATAAAATGTCATTCTTTCCTGCACAGTTTGATTTATCTTTTCTGTTTTGTTACAGATGCGGATTCAGGAATGGACTCCAAATACATTGCTACAGCCATGGGGGTCAGTGCTAAAAACATTCAAGGCATGAAGGCCTCCTTCTTTGGAGATGGACTGCAGGGCTTAGAAGGTACAAGTGGATTTGATTTCTGGATTGTCATGTAGCCAAAAACTTGTGTTTTCTTCTTCTAACTTTTGTTCTGTGCGCACACCTGCTGCAAACTCCAACGAAAATTTATGGTTGTTCGTCAACTTCTGGACTTGATTCTTCTTCCAGACAAAATTTGAGTTTTGCATGAACTTCTGGCCTCCCAGGCAGATACCTCTTTGAAGGAAACACCCTAATTAGTTGCCTTTGGTGACAGGCTTGTTAGGGAAACAGTTGGTCTATTCTTTTCCCCCCTTTAAAATGGGCCTCCCTGAACCCACACAAGGAACTTGGGTTTAAATCCATGTTATTTTGTGTGTTGGATACTAATAGAAAAGGGTAGGTGCATCAAATTTGATGGGCTAGAAGGGGCGAAGAAGTTTAGTTCATGGATTGCTGTATAGAAGAAATTTAAACTTTCAGCTTGAGATAGCAAGGTTTTATTTAATACAGATATAATTTGGTGGAACCTCACTAGCAGACTGAGAGCTTCATTAGTCCTGAGATCAAAACTAAATTTCTTTTTTTAAATTTCAATTCAGTGTTTATACCACAGCTGTAATGTGGAAATTAATTTGAAATCCAATAAATGAACTTTAGCTCTCTCTTATACTGCCGCCCTGTTAAAAAAATAAAAAATACCATGATATTTAGCGGCCGAACACTGTACATGTGTAAAATATAGATGTGTACGGAACAAGTGGAGCTTACGAGGCTTGCCGGAGACTAGCTAATAGAGAAGTGCTTGTTAAATGACTTTGCAGGGATGTGTATAGTTGGTGATGCTGGATTAGCAGCATCTTGGGGGCCAAAGGGGTTCAGGTTGTTTAATAGTGTTGGAGTATATTGAGTCTGAGAGACGGAGAAGGTGTATATACTGAGTAAATTCAAATGTTAGACCAAGAGGGTGTCTACATTGAACATAAGGAGTGTTGAATTCATCTAAAAGAGCTGAATTGCAATGTGTGGCAACAAGGATAGATAAAACTGAAACAGCTATCACCCACATCACAACCTCTACCAGTCATCCTCTGTCACAGTTGTAAATATAGGTGGACAGTGACAGCTGTGCGGGCACCAAAGATAACTGGAAAGCTACAGATAGATTAGAGGTAGTTTTTTTTTAATAGTTTTTTTTTTTTTGGGTGAAGACACCAGGTTTTTCTTTGTTAAACTGCTGATGTAATGAATTTTTACAAATTAGCGTTATTTTATACCACCTGGTTGCACTTTTCACTTGAGTGCATTTTCAGGACTGTTATTTGCCACTTTACCATATGCCAGTGGCGCACATGCAAATTCCTACTGCAGATTGGGGGGGGGGGGGGTTTACAACTGTTCACTCACTCACTCACTTATTCAAAAAAAATTTTAAAAGAGAGATCTCAATGTACGTACGTGGTGTTCTCAAAACAAGAACTTTCCATTTGGGTGACTTTGGCCTAGTGCCAACAGTTTTATTCTACGTGAATATGAAAATTTGACACCAATGTTAGTCTTTTTTTTTTTTTTAACAAATAAAATGTAAAAGTTCCTCATTTGTTGCCTTTTTTATTAATTTTTATTATCATACATTTAATCTTGCTTGAGTCATTTGTTTGTTCTTGTTTCATTTGTGATGATTTTATATGAACATTCAAAAACTCTTAACTGAAAATCAGGATTTACCATTGCTTTTAGCACAGTGCTATTTTTTAACAAGACTCTTCTATCAGTATTAAATTTGTATCAGCAGTTTTAGTATTTTCATTCAAATCCTCTCCCCCCTCCCCCTTTTTTTGGTTTTGGTTTTTGTTTACTCTTAACTGTTATATTTAACCTAAGCAAGAAACCAGAACAACCAAGGCAGACAGGAATAAAAGAGCGGGTGAATGAGCTGAATTCATTTCAGTAATTAAAATCTTGATGTTGAAGAAAGATCTGAACATTAAAAAAAGATTGGCTAAAAAAACAGCATCCTGTCTCGGAAGCTGAAATATTTTGGTCATACCAAGCGCCACGACGGATTGGAAAAAAATAATAGCAAAGGCATGGTACCAGGAAAGAGGGGCAGGGGCTTACCAACAAAAAGATAGGCAAAGGATATAAGTGACTCCTTGAGTAAGTGAGGCGGGAGAGCTGGCGTGAGACCGAGTTTCTTTCAAGCAGACCATGATGAGAGCGACGTTCTATGAAGGACCTGCTACATGATGATAATGAATTTTTTTCCTCTCTCACGTTGAAAACGAAAGAGTGAGAATTAGCTGAAGGCTCCCGGGGATAGAGCATGTGTGGGAGTGTCCTGAGTGCAGTAACATCATTCCTTCATTCTTTTATTCTGCAAAAACAAAACAGATCTCAAGTATTCATATCAACACATCAAGACCCAAATCTATTGTTTGAAAATGTAATCATAAAAGGCCTTGTTTTATGCAAGTTTTGTCTAAGTATACAATTTAAAAAAATATTTTATTTCACTGACATTTTTCTTGTTTAGTTCACTTGTTTAATGTTTTTTTCTGTCATTAAAGTTTGTTTTATTGGGTCACTAGGAAAAGAGGGGAGGGGACAACTCCCGTACACATGTGTGTGTCCCCACACATGTTTACACACACACACACAAGGTTTGTAGCTTTGAAGGCTCGTCACAAAAGTTTTTTTTTTTTTTGAAACTTGCATAGCCTTTACAGGATGTTGCAGAACCAACCCTAGTATTTTTGGGGGGACTCTTTTAGGTTTTTTACTAGGCAGTTTTACATTTAGTAGTTTGCCATTTCTTGCTGAAATGTTAAGCTTTAATAACTCTTGTCGAAATTAATGCAAGACAGTCTGGTGCCAAATTGCTCACAGCTTTAATGGAACTGTGTAGCTTGAAATGAACGAAGCGGGTTCACAACACCTAACAGTGTAACATTAGAGATGCACAATTTCCTAGTGGGTAAGATGCAGAAGAAGAGAATCAGCAGCCCTACTTCAAATGTCATGACCTAGGAAATGTGAAGCCCCACACTGCATTTGCAATATGTTATGGAGCTTGCTTTACCTTTAACTATAAAACTGCAGCTTACGAAATGCGAGGGAGAATGATAACTTGCAGACTGGCCAGTGTGCAGTCACATCTGTTCTGTTAGCAGATAACGATATTGTGTGTCCGTGCTTGGAATAAAATAAATACCTCGGAGAAAATGATGAACATAAAAATGGGATGAGTTCAAGAAAAGTTAAAAAAAAAACAAGAGAAATGTCTAAACAAACACTTGTGTCAACAGTTATAAGACAGAGAAGATGGTGCTCTGTTCAGCACATCCTGAGTAGAGACAAGCAGAAAGTCATCAAACAAGCACTGAAATATGAAATAGAAGGATTGAGGAAATGAGGTCCAAGAGAAACCCCGAGAGAAGTTTTGATGAGATGCCAGAGGTGCTGTACTGAATTCCATCCTCACCATGTGGGTTCGGGGACCCCATTGTGGGAGAAAAAAAGAACAGACTCACTGCCTTCCTAACAAGCATGTCAAAAGAGTCGACTAATTAGGAGTTTCCTTCAAAATTGGAGTGCATCTGCCCAAGAGGCAAGGAACCAACAGTCTGCATGCAAATAAGACAGATATGTAAAACGGATGTGCACACAACACTCAGGCTCTGGAACAAGTCCAAAGTCCAGACGTGAATAAACAACCATAACTTTCTGGCATTTACGGCCGGTGAACGTGAGGAAGAAGAGGAAGGATTCCGTCTGTGATATCGAAGGGATTGCACAGCATAGTATTGAATGGAGTGCATCTGCCCAGGGCAGATGCACTCCGACTTCAAAGGAAGCTCTCCAATTAGTCGACTCTTACGACATGCTTTTGGTTAGGCAGTGGGTTTATTCTTGTTTTTCCCCACAATGGGGCCCCGGAACCCACACGGGGGATTAGCCTCACACCTCTCCAGATCTCGAATTATGGCCTGAATTTCTTGCATATTATGAACCATATCAGTTTATTATCTGGTGCAGACCTGTGGCATCTGTACTCTGACTGGCCATTGGGCAACAGGTTTCTCAATCTGGCAGTCTTATCTTAGGCTTTTATTGTGTGGGTAGGGCTTCTACTACAGACATCCTGAAAATTGTGCTAGGTCTTGTTTTTGAGTGAAGATCTTTGGTGGCGGGAGAGGGGGGGACACGGTATGGACAGTTATTTACTGAGTGCAGTTTTTTTTCGTAGGTTCCAGGGAGTCATTGCTGGAGCTATTAGAGGTCATCCTTTGTGCAGTTTTCTCAACAGGTGAAGAGCAGCTGTATGAAAACTTAGCAGGAAGAAACCTGATGCAAGAAGATCAGTCATTTGACCCTGAATCACTTTTTTAAAAGAGGAGTTGAGTCAAGAATTGACATCACAACACTTAGGGCCTTCCATGCGTGCTCCGTCCTCATCTTCAGCAGCCCGTGCAGAGTTTCAATACTGATGGCACCAGTCACAATCTGGTTATATGTCCGTCTTGCTTTTCCTCTAAGTAGTGAGCCGGCCAGACCCTCTGGTTACACCTAAGTGCCCCATTCTCTCCAGGCCATAACCTTGTTTCTGTACTGATTCCATTGCTTATTCCCAAAGGGCCTTGACCACATCTGCCATGTTATGTATCAGTTCACCACCCAGTCATGCAGATCAAGCCAATATACCTGCCTGTTTATTACCCACCACGCTGGCATAGCCTGGAGAAAAGATCCAAAGTATGCTCACTACCTGTGACCTTCCCAGTGAAGCTTGCCACTCTGTTCGAAGCTTTAAAATAGGAATGAGAGACTAAATAATTTGTTAACAAAAAAATGTTGATTATATAGGAAGATGTATAGATGTTCAGATTATATAGGAAGATGTATAGATGTTCAGATTATATGGGAAGATGTATAGATGTTTAGATTATATGGGAAGATGTATAGATGTTAAGATTATATGGATAGAAGTTTAGATTATATGGGAAGATGTTTAAATTATAAGGGAAGATGTATAGATGTTTAGGTTATATGGGAAGATGTTTAAATTATAAGGGTAGATGTATAGATGTTTAGATTATGTGGGAAGATGTATAGATGTTTAGTTATTAACCTCAGATATTCTTTTCAGGGTTGTTTGATGTCGGTCCTGCCAGAGACCTCCTTCGCCCGGTTCCACAAACATTCCTGCACCCTCCTGTTTATGAACACAAACTTATTCCCAGTGGGATGCAGCCAAAGGATTTGCCCCCGCGGATTGTTGGCACCAGAGTCAGGCATGGGATTCTGCAAGTGAAGGATTCGCTGCTGTACCGAAACCAGCAGCCACTTATTGACGCTGCATGTTTCATGGGGAGGTCCTTCAGAGTTGGCTGGGGTCCTTGTTGGACGTTGGCTCACAGTGGAAATCTGTTAGGCATCCCAGGTCAGTAGGGGGAAAAAATAATCTTCCATGACATGTGTTTCTGTCTGTTATTTATTTATCTCTGCAGCTGTATCTTACATTTCTCTAACAGTGCTTTGCTAATGTATTATCATCATATTTCTGTTACAGTGCACTGCTAATGTATTATCATTGAGTTTTTATTACGGTACACTGCTAATTTATTATCATTATATTTCTGTTATTTCAAAACCAAGATGTTTTGATAGAGGCGGGAGCCCAAAGACAACTTATAACAGACATCAGAAGGAGACAGTCATCATTTTTCGGCCATGTTATGAGAAGAGGGAAAATAGAACATGTTGTGACAACTGGAAAGATATGTGGAAGGAGAGATAGAGGAAGACAACGAGAAGATGCTTGACAGTCTTGTTGCATGGCATGGAGGTGTGTCGGCACACGAACTGATATATGCTGCAGGAGATCGCAGATTATGGAGAGGCATGATCGCCCACGCCAGTCGGCAAGGCAGCTGATGATGATGATGATGATTTCTGTTATACTACACTGCTAATGTATTATCATTATATTTCTTTTGCAGTTCATTCCTAATATATTATTATTTTATTTCTGTTACAGTACACTTCTAATGTAACGTCTTACATCTCTGTTACAGTACACTTCTAATGTAGCGTCTTACATCTCTGTTACAGTACACTTCTAATGTAGCGTCTTACATCTCTGTTACAGTAATTTTAATATGGACAGTTCTTTAAAGCTGTTTGTATTCATGCCTTTTGTGGATTTTTGGCTTGTTTAGAGAAACCACTATTTGAAATTTCCTGTCCTAATTAGCGATACAAATGCTGTTTACGTTACGTCTGCAGAGGACGACACAGAAGAAATATCTATCCTTCCATCTGCCAAAGGGCGAGTTAAAGCCCTGCCGCGACTGAAAAGCTGGATGACCCACGTTGAGCAGATCCAGGTATCCGACTACATGGATGCTCAGAGTGTCGACATCGTGGTAAGAGTTGTTTCATGTGAAAACTGATGGTTTATCACTGTTTAATGGTGGGTGGAAGAGGGGATTCCTCCATAGGGATTGTATATGCCTCCTGCTGGGGGGGGGGGGGGGGTTTGAGTCATGTGTGTTGTGCCAGAAGAATAGATCCAGTAGAGTCCAAAAGAATTAGACCCACTGCCTATCTTATTGGTACATTGCACAAGATGACTAATTAGAGTTTCCTTCAACCTGTATGTTTCCATAAAACCTATCAACCTCATGTGCCCTGCCATAATCCCTAGTTGCCTGGAACAGCTCTCTTGATGATATCCCACCATGCCATCATTTCAGCCCATCCAGCATCCTCTCTCTTGGTCTGCCTCTCCCCCCTTTTTCTACTGATCTTTCCAGTTGTCACGATGTTCTCCAACGTCTGTCTTCTCATTATGTGACCAAAGAACAGTGTTTGTCTCTTTCTTATTGCTGTATATAGAGATCTACTTTCATTAGCTTCTTTCAAGCAATCGTTAGTTACTCTGGCATAAAACCTATGTGTGAGCAAAACTCGGGTTCTAGAACAAAACCAAACAATAAGGGGGGACTAACAACCAGAACTTTTGACCTCAGTTTACAGCCAGTGAGTGCTAAGAATAACAGATTTGCATCGTTGTTTGAAAAGAGTTTTAAACAGAGGTTGGTCAGCTCATTAGCTTCATGCTCCGAAAGTCCTGTGGGAGAATGAATCAGGCCAGTCACCTCAAAAATATCATGTAGGGCCACTAATTCAAAGTTTGCTGGCATCCGATGTGTGTGACTGAAAGGTGCGAATATGGCTGCTTAGCTGTTAACTGCATCACACTGTGCCGACCATGCTTTTGAGAGCAACACACAGATGAAGAAATACTTAGCATTGTATATTTAATAATTTTTTGTGTTTTTGTGTCAGCAAGCTGACTATGGTATGTGGGACTAAAGGAGTTGAAAGGTAAAGAAAGAAATTTTACCTAGGTCATGAGCTTGCAGTGTCTTGACCCAGACAGTAACACACAACCACAGCACTCTCTTCATGTGGGAGTAAACAAGTTGAAAAGTCGGAAGGGGGGGTGGGGGGGGGGGGGGGGTCGTCGTCATTATTTATCATTGCACCCTATATAAAGGGTGTTAACAAAGATACAAGGGGAAGTCAGTCACATATGGTTATGGGATGGCAGGAAAATGTAGCTGGTGATTTCTAAAGGTGTCATTAGGGGACGGCAGCATCAAACTTCATGACTTTGTTTGTTAGGTGGGGCTAGGTGTTGCATGTGCATTCGCAACACAGAAACAGAATGGCAACTGTACTTACGAAGTGTACCCTCAAAGAACAATGTGCTTTGTTCATTTTTTAGGGGGCAAAAGAGCTGTCTGCAAAAGACATTCAGAAGGAAATGCTTCTTTTTTATGCTGACAAAAGTTTATCCCGTAAAGGGGTGCATAGCTGGGTAAAACAATTTTTTTCAAGGAAAATGTCCAGGACTACTGACTAGAGGAGTACTGCTCCTTCATGAGAATGTTAGACCATTCAAGGCTTGGGTAACTCAGGGGAAAAATTAACCATCTAGGGTGGGAACTTCCTGAAACATCAACCTAAAGGCCCCGACTTAGCCCCCAGCGATTTCCACCTTTTTGGTCCACTGAAAACCCACATTTATGAGTGAGTGACATTTTGTGAATGACGCAGAAGTTGAATGTGAAGAAAAAGTGTGGTTTAGAAAACAGAGCACCCAGTTCTATGCAGCAGGATTTGAAGGACTGATAAAACAATAGTACGGTGTATGTGTAAAAAAGTGTTCAAGTTGTTTTCATCTGTAGTTTTTTTTTTTTTTTTTTTTAAACAACCATTTGTGACTTTTGTCGGCATCTGTGGCTTAGGCGTTACAAACGTGCTTTGTAATGCTGGGCTGCCAGGTTCGATCCCAGCTGCGGGCCTTGCGCTGTTTTCGACAGTGTTATCGAGACGCCGGCCGTCCAGAAAGCAATGACAAACTACTGGGCGTAAACTTACCTAGGAAAACCAGGACAGCCAAAAAATGCTAGGGTTGGTTCTGCAATGTCCTGTATAGGATACGCAACTTACTAACTTGTGACTTATTGACTTCCTCTCGTAGCATGAAATGAGACAGTTAATACAAATTACACTATTATATAGGCACATAGATATCAGTTTCATTTATCTAGCCTCTCTTCAGAAGAAGAATTGTCAACAAACTGACATTGATACTTGATTCACTTTTGTCCCCAGAAACAGCAGGAAAACATGCTAAACATCCAGCTGGATCAGTCTCAGTTCAGCCTGGAAGATGGATGTCCATTGTTTGTGCCCCAGCCGGGTGTGGAGGCTCTACATCGGCTTGCAGACTGCGTGGCAGATGGGCTGGCGGAGATAAGTAAGTGGGTTTAGGCAGGTGAATTTTTTTCTGCCTTCGCTCATTAAAGAGCAGTTGGCATATTGTGGTTTACATTTAGACTGTAATAGCTGTGCCTCTCAGCCCAACACATCTGATTTCAGCGAAAACTTAACTAGTCAGCCTTTCACAATATACCCTTTAGCCCTGAAAAGCTGAAAACCCAACACTTGCCAGTTGGGTCCAATTCCCTCACTTTTCGGCTTATCTCTAGTGCCCTGTTTACGGGGGTCACTGCTCTTGGCTGTTTTCATGCCTGCGCAAATGTCTAGGAGGTCAGGATATGAATACATTAACGGGGGGGGGGGGGGGGGGGGGGGGGGGGTGGGCCCATTGAGCTACATGGCTTTTTTAAAGCCAGGTTAACCTCAGAGTTCCCCTAAATAGTCAAACCAATGCATGTTTTTTTTTTTTTCAGGCCCTATGGAATGTATTTTATTTACTGCTTCACCCTGTTCATAATGATTGCTTACTGCTTTTATTCACATTTTAAATGAATTAATTAGTGATCTATGTAAATTTTTTGTGTTTTTTTGTAAACATAATTTCCTAGAACAGGATCATAACTTTTTTTTATGTGTTGTCGGGTGAAAGATTCAAAATGAAGTGGGTCTTTTTCCTCAAAAAAAAGACTTTGGAACCCACACATTGATGTTATTGGAATAATCAACATCTGTTTCTCATGCCTTGGGAGCCACAGCATCTCTGGTCGCCTCGAGTGCTAAGATATTTATTCTGCAAGCCAAGAAAGATGTGTACTGTTCTAAAATGTATCCATTTTGTCATCTGCAACTTCAGATTCCCACCCAGACGCCAGCGTTCAGCTACAGATGAAGAGAGTGTTGTGTTTGTGTGTTGCTCTCTGGGGCAAGATACTGCAAGCTCCTGACCTAGGTAAAACTTTGTTTTGTTTCTTTCATTACATTTTTCTTCTGACTTTTCAGGTCTTTTAGTCCCACACATTGTGTGATGCCCGATTGGTTCTTTCCTGTATGTATGCACAAGGAGAGACAATCAGAGGGAGGCCAAGAACCAGTTGACCAGACCTCAAGGATGACCCAGAGTTTGCTATCAACCAGCATAGAAGTGGTACTGTTAACCATGGGATGCTGATGTATATAAGTATAGTAAAGTGAAGATCCCTTTGCACGCCTTTAGGTGCATCGGGCATATGGGAAGAGCAGCCATTTTATTACAGACCACTTGGCACTAGGTGGGTAATGTGGTCAGCATTACACCGGACGTCTTTACTTTCCCAGGGCATACATCCGCTGATGGATATGTTGAAGGGAAATCTGAGTTGCTATGGACGTTTCCAGAGTGCTGTGAAAATAACCAACTCATAACTTCTGTTTCAGTGTGTTTCCTTTCTACACAAATAGCAAATCTGATGTTTTTTTTTTTTTTTTTTTTTTTTTTTTCAGAAAAGGATGAGATCTATCGAGAGAAGCAGCTTAGAAGAGAGGCGCTGTCACAGTGGCTGTCAGATGCAAGTTCAAGGAAAGTGGCCACAGAGATGGAAGCCTGCAGTGCTGTTGTGAGTTGTCTAAATGTGTGTGTGTGTGAAGAGAATTCTGAAAGGTTACGTTGAACTTGTTGTGATGCATGGCACATTTTAGAATGTTGATGGAGAGGTTGTTCGGAAATGTCTGAAGCTGTAAAGTTGTGAATACCCCGGATAGGCAGAATAACTTACAGTTACCTGAGACAAATAACGAGAACGTGCTAGACCAGGGTTATGCAGCTATATCTGGCCCACAGAGGACTAGCTAATGGCCCACAGAGGACTAGCTAATGGCCCACAGAGGACTAGCTAATGGCCCACAGAGGACTAGCTAATGGCTAGTGAGTTATTGCCTGTTGTATTGCAAATATGATCTTTCTGTGCTTGGGCTCCTGATCCGCGACAAGCCCAATTTTTCAGCATTTTGACCTCTGAGTAAACTTATTTGAAAAGCATTGCCCTGGACAGATAAAAAAGAACTGATTGCCCATGTCAGAAGGAGGCTGTATTCTAAGGTCATGTTATGAGAAGGAGAAGACTGGAGTACATTGTAACCGTGGAAAAGTTGGAGGGGAGTAGAGGCAGAGAGAGACCCATAAAGGGGGTCTTGCAACCCCTATGAAACAATGCAAAGGACTCAAACAATTCTAAAAATAATTGTCAAAATTTGCACATGTTTATAAATGTTAAAAAAATTCTTAACTTTATTATTGACCTTTTTAAAATGGCTCTTTTTGGTTTTTCAAGGAATTTTTATTTTAGCAGTTCCTGAGTTCTGTTCTTGTTTTCACCCAGCGTGTCAGTACAAAAAGTGTTAATGCTCAGAAATATCAATTTTCTTCTTTAGCGATTGTGAAATAGTCTAAGAGTCATCCATAGTAAATATGTAACATGATAACAGGTAAATAATGTCTGATTGATTGCTGGGTTTCTCAACAGAGCACTGACAGTCACCTGAAGGCTGTGTTCTCAAAGCTGACGGTGAGAGAGATATCAGAGGCCTGCATGCTGGCACAGAGAGGGAGGGACCACCGTTTGGCCTTGCTACTGGCTCAGGCCGCAGGCAACACTGTGACTAGGCAGATGGTCAGCATGCAGCTGGACAAGTGGGCGGAAATGGATGTAAGTTATCAGTTTGTCCTTTGGTCATTGTTTTGGAATTTCCAGCTTTTATTGACTTTGCTTGTCCAGTTTTTTTTTTGTTTTTGTTTTTTTTCTTCAATTGTAGGACATTAGTTACTGAGGTGGTATATGTGTCCCACCTCTCTCTCTCTCTCTCTCTCTCTCTCTCTCTCTCTCTCTCTCTCTCTCTCTCTCTCTCTCTCTCTCTCTCTCTCTCTCTCTCTCTCTCTCTCTCTCTCTCTCTCTCTCTCTCTCTCTCTCTCTCTCTCTCTCTCTCTCTCTCTCTCTCTCTCTCTCTCTCTCTCTCTCTCTTTTTTTTTTCTTTTTTCTCTCTCTCCACCTCTACTCACAAACATACATACAAGGGGCTGAAATATCTTGACACTCACTCATAGACACAAAACCCTTCTCTTGAAGGTTAATTACTTCTTTCTTGTCCTGTTCTTCACCTTCAGTGGCTGTAAACCCCGGTAAAAAGTCCTGGTTGTTTGTCCACTTCATAAGAGTTGACTAATTAGGATCTTCCTTCAAAGTCAGAGTGCGTCTGCCTGAGAGGCGAGGAACCAACAGTCTGCATACAAATGAGGCAGATCTGTAAAATGGATGTCCACAAAACACTCAGGATCTGGAAGAAGACTAAAGTCCTGAAGTGGACGAATACGCAGGAGTTTACAGCCGGTGAACGCAAAGAAGAAGAATATTGCGTGCACATTTTATTCTTCTGCATCCGTCCTTAAAAGAGCAGTTGGTTCATTTTGTTGTGCTTTACAGCCAAGCTGCGATATCTGTGCTTTCCGGCCCAACAGCGATTTCAGATAACCCCTAATTGATCACCTTTTACGACAGGCTTGTTCAGAGGCATTTGGTTTTTCTCCCTCTCGCCCGCCCCAGTTGGACCCTATAAACCCACAGTGGAGTTTATATAATCTGGTTAAAATAATATTTCTGCTGGCTTTTATTATTCTCAGGCCTTTCAGTTCATCCATGAAGTGCGACAGAAAATCTACTGCCTTTTGGGAGGACACCTGGTCTGGTGCTGCCAAGATCTAGAGATCAACACCTGCCGGGACCTGGACTGGAAGCGAGCGCTGGCCTTACATCTCTGGTCAGTTGTGTGAATGCCACATTCAGGCATAGCATTGTTATAGCATGAATTGGTTTATCGTTGGTTTAGCTAAGTTGAGTTAAAGTCGATCGACTTTATAACACTGGGTTTTATCCCATATGGCTCAGTCTTGCTCTGCAGAATGACTGTCCACCTGTTGAGAGTGTCACAAAGCATGAACTCAATGTTGAATTAAGAAATGACATCACAGCACTCAGGACACCCCATAAGCGCTCTGTCCCCATCTTCAGCAGCAAGCGAAGAGTTCATTCAGATGGTACCAGTAACCGTCTGATTGTATATCCATCTCATCCTTCCCCTGAGTGTTGAGCGTAGGCCAGATTTCCTGGTAACTCCTCGCAGCGCCATTCTCCTCAGACTGTAATGATCGATCTGTGCCTCCGCCCTTTTTACCCGTTCCCAAAGGGCCCTCACAATATCTAACTTGTCATACATCATTTCACCACAAAGCGGTGCAGAGCCAGCCATGACCTGGAAAAAATATCCAAAGGATGCTAACTACCCGGGACCTTTGAAGTTATGCTTGCCACTCTGCACGGAGCATGCCTGTCTCCACCTTTCTCAACATGCTCTGTGAATCAGTTACAATGACTGCATGTGTGTACAGCTGATTCTCAAGCCACGGGAAGGCAGCAGTAACGGCCTCCACCTCCATTCTCAAACTAGATGTTGTGATATCATATGCCAGCACGAACTCAATAGTTCCACTAACAGTCCCAAAGTATCTTTATAAAAATTGCTTTTGTGAACTGCGCCCATTAGAATGTGAGGCAAATGGTGTGGCCACTTCACCAAGGAGAGCTCCCTTTTAGGGTAAATTGGCATATCATTCTGTTAATATGAATTGATGTTTGTGGGTAAATTACTATTTCTTTGCGTTCACTGGCTGTAAATTTTGGTGGAAAATTCTAGTTGTTTGCACACTTCTGGACTTTGGTCTTTGAGTTTTGCTTGCACACCAGTTTTACAAATCTGGTTTATTTGTATAGGCTGTTTGTTCCTTATCTTTCAATCAGATGCCCTTTGACTTTGAAGGCAACACTCCTAATTGGTTGATGTTTACTGTATGGTTGTTAGGGAAGCAGTGGATCTGTTGTTTTCCTCTAACATAGGGTCCTATAACCCACATGAGGATCTATTGTTTTCCTCTAACATAGGGTCCTATAATCCACATGAGGATTTGTTGTTTTCCTCTAACATAAGGTCCTATAACCCACATGAGGATCTATTGTTTTCCTCAAACATAAGGTCCTATAACCCACATGAGGATCTATTGTTTTCCTCTAACATAGGGTCCTATAACTCACATGAGGATCTGTTGTTTTCCTCTAACATAGGGTCCTATAACCCACATGAGGATCTATTGTTTTCCTCTAACATAGGGTCCTATAACCCACATGAGGATCTATTGTTTTCCTCTAACATAGGGTCCTATAACCCACATGAGGATCTGTTGTTTTACTACAACATAGGGTCCTATAACCCACATGAGGATCTGTTGTTTTACTACAACATAGGGTCCTATAACCCACATGAGGATCTGTTGTTTTACTACAACATAGGGTCCTATAACCCACATGAGGATCTGTTGTTTTCCTCTAACATAGGGTCCTATAACCCACATGAGGATCTGTTGTTTTCCTCTAACATAAGGTCCTATAACCCACATGAGGATCTGTTGTTTTCCTCTAACATAGGGTCCTATAACCCACATGAGGATCTGTTGTTTTCCTCTAACATAAGGTCCTATAACCCACATGAGGATCTGTTGTTTTCCTCTAACATAGGGTCCTATAACCCACATGAGGATCTGTTGTTTTCCTCTAACAGAGGGTCCTATAACCCACATGAGGATCTGTTGTTTTACTACAACATAGGGTCCTATAATCCACATGAGGATCTGTTGTTTTCCTCTAACAGAGGGTCCTATAACCCACATGAGGATCTGTTGTTTTACTACAACATAGGGTCCTATAATCCACATGAGGATCTGTTGTTTTCCTCTAACATAGGGTCCTATAATCCACATGAGGATCTGTTGTTTTCCTCTAACAGAGGGTCCTATAACTCACATGAGGATCTGTTGTTTTCCTCTAACATAGGGTCCTATAACCCACATGAGGATCTGTTGTTTTCCTCTAACATAGGGTCCTATAATCCACATGAGGATCTATTGTTTTCCTGTAACATAGGGTCCTATAATCCACATGAGGATCTGTTGTTTTACTACAACATAGGGTCCTATAACTCACATGAGGATCTGTTGTTTTACTACAACAGAGGGTCCTATAACCCACATGAGGATCTGTTGTTTTACTACAACATAGGGTCCTATAACCCACATGAGGATCTGTTGTTTTCCTCTAACAGAGGGTCCTATAACCCACATGAGGATCTGTTGTTTTCCTCTAACATAGGGTCCTATAATCCACATGAGGATCTGTTGTTTTCCTCTAACATAAGGTCCTATAACTCACATGAGGATCTGTTGTTTTCCTCTAACATAGGGTCCTATAATCCACATGAGGATCTATTGTTTTCCTCTAACATAAGGTCCTATAACCCACATGAGGATCTGTTGTTTTCCTCTAACAGAGGGTCCTATAACCCACATGAGGATCTGTTGTTTTACTACAACATAGGGTCCTATAATCCACATGAGGATCTGTTGTTTTCCTCTAACATAGGGTCCTATAACTCACATGAGGATCTGTTGTTTTCCTCTAACATAGGGTTCTATAACCCACATGAGGATCTGTTGTTTTCCTTTAACATAGGGTCCTATAACCCACATGAGGATCTGTTGTTTTCCTCTAACATAAGGTCCTATAACCCACATGAGGATCTGTTGTTTTCCTCTAACATAGGGTCCTATAATCCACATGAGGATCTATTGTTTTCCTCTAACATAAGGTCCTATAACTCACATGAGGATCTGTTGTTTTCCTCTAACATAGGGTCCTATAATCCACATGAGGATCTATTGTTTTCCTCTAACATAAGGTCCTATAACCCACATGAGGATCTGTTGTTTTCCTCTAACAGAGGGTCCTATAACCCACATGAGGATCTGTTGTTTTACTACAACATAGGGTCCTATAATCCACATGAGGATCTGTTGTTTTCCTCTAACATAGGGTCCTATAACTCACATGAGGATCTGTTGTTTTCCTCTAACATAGGGTCCTATAACCCACATGAGGATCTGTTGTTTTCCTCTAACATAGGGTCCTATAACCCACATGAGGATCTGTTGTTTTCCTCTAACATAAGGTCCTATAACCCACATGAGGATCTGTTGTTTTCCTCTAACATAGGGTCCTATAATCCACATGAGGATCTGTTGTTTTCCTCTAACATAAGGTCCTATAACTCACATGAGGATCTGTTGTTTTCCTCTAACATAGGGTCCTATAATCCACATGAGGATCTATTGTTTTCCTCTAACATAAGGTCCTATAACCCACATGAGGATCTGTTGTTTTCCTCTAACAGAGGGTCCTATAACCCACATGAGGATCTGTTGTTTTACTACAACATAGGGTCCTATAATCCACATAAGGATCTGTTGTTTTCCTCTAACATAGGGTCCTATAACTCACATGAGGATCTGTTGTTTTCCTCTAACATAGGGTCCTATAACCCACATGAGGATCTGTTGTTTTCCTCTAACATAGGGTCCTATAACCCACATGAGGATCTGTTGTTTTCCTCTAACATAGGGTCCTATAACCCACATGAGGATCTGTTGTTTTCCTCTAACATAGGGTCCTATAACCCACATGAGGATCTGTTGTTTTCCTCTAACATAGGGTCCTATAACTCACATGAGGATCTGTTGTTTTCCTCTAACAGAGGGTCCTATAACCCACATGAGGATCTGTTGTTTTCCTCTAACATAGGGTCCTATAACTCACATGAGGGTCTGTTGTTTTCCTCTAACATAGGGTCCTATAACCCACATGAGGGTCTGTTGTTTTCCTCTAACATAGGGTCCTATAACCCACATGAGGGTCTGTTGTTTTCCTCAAACATAGGGTCCTATAACTCACATGAGGATCTGTTGTTTTCCTCTAACATAGGGTCCTATAACCCACATGAGGATCTGTTGTTTTCCTCTAACATAGGGTCCTATAACCCACATGAGGATCTGTTGTTTTCCTCTAACATAGGGTCCTATAACCCACATGAGGATCTGTTGTTTTCCTCTAACATAGGGTCCTATAATCCACATGAGGATCTGTTGAAAAGTAAAGGACATGTTCTGTGCATTCAGGCGTATTGGGCATAAGACCTATATTTTTATAGACCAATTGGCACCTGGTGGGGGATGTGGTCAGCATCATGCTGGCTGTGCCGGCACACACACACACACACACACACACACACACCCAGACACAATTACGTCCAAACCAAAAATCAGATAAACACAGGTAAATGTATGATGAATTAATCAAGTAACAGAAAGTGTATTGATCGGCACTCATAGAAAGAAGTAGAAAGATAGAACACACTAGACAACATAAAAATCGAAAGCTTTAGTTACTGTACCGGGAATTGAACCTGTCACCTCCAGACGGCATCTGCGCCTCGCCATGGATACAAGTGCACTAAGAACATGGTCAACTAGGCACACACACACACCCCCCCACACACACACACACCCCCCCCCCCCCCCATGTCTTGTTGGCCATATCTATCGTACAGCTTAAAATCCACAATTATGGAATACGGATAGAATTCATTTCAAACCATTGAAAATAGCACCATAGGTTAAAAAAAATTTATATTAACGAAGCATATGTCGAATAACAAACACAGAAACAATTTACGAACACAGTAGACCTTAATGCCTTGTCTAGAATAATACACAAACATTTAAGAAAGGTATTTGATTAGTTGGTCCCGGTGGGTATACGTCATTCCTAAAAATAAATAGAGGGGGGACCTTTGAGACGTTAAATATTATGAATATTTATTTATAGGTAATTGTATGATATGTCCTTGGGGCTTAAAGGTTGGTAAAATCGTTTCACAATTCAGGATACTAGGGTTCAGTTCCCATGATGGGCGGTTTAGAAAAAATATCATTCTCATGGCTTTCAGTTGGGTACTACAGTCGCAACATGGAAGAGATTGGGTCCTTGTCGCGTAGTATACCCCAAAGTCTATGGCGCCCATACATCCCATTTTCACCGGGTTTGTTCCACCATGTTTTCAAAAAACCTCCATTTCTCCCATTTTATAAAAATATCAAAATAAGCTCAAGAATAGAAGATACACTTGTATCTGTAGACCTTATTAGATATCATAGTTCTGGATACGTTTACTATCTCGAATGTGTTGACAGAAATATTCACTTTAGTGTGTGTTTTTTTTTTAAATTAACCTTAAGGGGAAAAAATCTTTTTTTGTTTATTTCCTGGCATCCGTATATAGAGTGTAAATACCATTATTGAACAAGTGATTGACCCATTCATCCCACTGATCTCTAATAAAAAAGGAAGGGGTAAACTGACTTGTTTGGGAGGTCCCGTTTTCGTCTCAAATATCGGAATGTGCCGTTTAGGCTTAAGATGATGGTCACCCTACAAAAGACAGTAGTGACTAAACCAGTCCATTGTGAAGACTGCGTGCAATTTGTGTTTTATTATTGATATGACCTTGTTGCTTGATGATGATTACGCTGATATGTTTCTGATACCAGGTACAAGTGCCCCCCTAATTCAACCATCCAGACAGCACTGCACCAATACCAGCAAGGATTCCGAGGCACCAATCATAGCCAGGCTTACTGTGCAGCACCTTTACCTCCATACCTAGAAGATCAAGGAGACAGCGACGAGATCTTTGACACTGCTTACCACTTGTTGTGTCTTTATGCTGATAAATCTTATGGCCTTGAAGCCTTGCTGTCGCCAACGTCATCTACCTCTTCACATCTAGACTTCAGGTTGAGGTATGTATACAGTTGGTATGAATGACACTGTTGACTGTATGGTCGTCTTTATGTGATATGCCAATAAGCCAAGGTTGTCGTGTTTTGCCATCTCACACAATCACGGATCAGGTCAGTGTTGTTGCCTCATTCTGATCAAGCCATCCAAATATTTATCTCTCTGCCTTTCCATTGGTTCATACATGTTTTACACACCCACACTCTCTTTTTCCACCTCCTTCCTCCTCACTCTCATATCTCTTACTTTCCTCTCTCTATATGTGAGAGGGGTATTTTTTATTAAAACAGATTTAGTGAAAGAGTTATGTGTATACCGTAAATTGTGGTGTACAATTTGACATCAGTATATTTAGCTTAAACTTCTCAGCTAACACTGTACTCACCTAACACATTTTATACCCGTTATATAAGTTGATGACTTGTAACTCCAACGTACCGCGATCTAAACCCATTGCTGGCTGTGTAGATTTTTATCGTGGTATGGGGCGTCGCAGGCCGACCCAACCTAAAATAGATACCAGGATGTATGTCCTGGGGAAGTAAAGACGGCCGGCGTAATGCTGACCACATAACCCACCCTCTGCCTAGTGGTCTGTAAAAATATGGGTGTTTTCCCCATATGCCCGATGTGCTTAAAAGGCATGAAGAGGGATCTTTACTTACTTTATATAAGTTGACAGGAGCCTCCTTGGTGTAGTGGTTAGACGCTCACCTGCAGGGCAGAAGGTCATGGGTTCAGTTCTTGACGGAGCTACACTTTCTTTTAGGGATGACCTTGGCTCTGAGATTGACCCAGCCTTAAATGTGTACCTGGTACAGTCCTGGAAAGTAAAGGTGGCCAGCGTGGTATTGATCTCATCACCGACGGAGCCTCGGTTGGTCTATAAAATATAGGTCTGGCCCTATATGCCCAATATGCCTAAAGGCATGAAAAAAGGTCCTTATGTTTTTTTTTTTTTAGAACAGGTTAAATGTGAGTGAATGAAAGAGATATATGTGTACTGTAAATTGTGGTGTTCAGTTCGACTTCAATATATTAGCTCAGTATTCTTCTTCTTCTTCGCGTTCACCAGCTGTGCTGGTGGAAAGTTCTGGTTGTTCGTCCACTTCTGGACTGCAGCCCGTTTCCAGAACCTGAGTGTTGCGTGTGCATCGGTTTTACATATCTGACTCATTTGTATGCAGACTGTTGGTTCCTTGCACTCAGACTGTGAAGGAAGCTCCCAATTAGTCGACTCTCACAACATGCTTTTGTGTAAGCAGTGGGTCTATTCTTGTTTTCCCTATAATAGGACCCAGGAACCCACACGGGGAAGCTCAGTATTCTAACACTATGACCTTGGCTCCCAGGTTGACCCAGCCTTGGAAGTAAAGGCGGCCAACGTGATGCTGACCACATCACCCATCTTGTGCCGAATGGTCTATAAAAATAGAGGTCTAGCCCTTTAAGCCTCATACGCCTAAAGCCGTGGAAAAAGGACCTTAACTGACTTTATTCTTTACTTTATTTTATACTTTAATTTTTGGGGGAGTTTTTTTTTTCCTCGGCTTATATGCACGCACTTTTATGGACTTTTTTTTTTTAAATTGTCAAACTGAATGTTCAAAAACTGTTGCCAGCTGGCACCTGCTTCAGATCCTGCAGGGGCTTGACTACAGACACCTGTCGGAGTACCACACAGACACCACCCACGTCAGCTTTGCCTCCCAGCTGGAGTCTCTCGGCCTGTGGCACTGGGCCGTCTTTGTCCTCTTGCACATCGACAACAGCTTCCAGAGACACAGTGCCGTCATGTCGCTGCTGCAGCGCCACCTGGATTTTGGCGACGAGATGACGGACAGGGAGCAGTTTTTGATTGACAGGTTACACCTGCCAGCTGAGTGGCTTCACCAGGTTAAGGTAGGTTGTGGTTTCACATTTGCGAAAAATATTACTGCTTTTGTCTTTTTTTAACAGTAATAAAAGTTTTTATGAGAACAAATAAATGACTCTCTTGGAAGGGGGCAGTGTTCTGGTCAAGCGATATGGTTAAGCCATGCAACCATATATTTCCTTTTCCAAATTTTTAAATATTTTTTTATTGGGGGAAAAGGGGGGGGGGGGGGGGGTGTCAGAAAAGGAATGGGGATAAGGACAAAATTAATAATTATTGCAGATTGAGAAGCAGCCTGTGAAATACATGCTGTGGCAACAATAGTCGTGAAATCCCATGCTCTAATTATGGAAGACTTTTCCAAAGTGAACTGGTCTTGCCAGCATACTCTTCATCAACATGAGCTGTGATTTCTATGCCTTCATATAGCACAGGCAGAGCCAGATTTAGATTTGATGAGGCCTTAAGATATCTAAAGCCCCAAGACCCCTACCATCTTAAACTACACTCCACACCAGATAATATCATAAAACATAACATTATATGTTAATAAAAGGTAGAAGTTGACACATTGGGCTGTTTTATTCACTTTAAATAGGCTACAAGTTGCAATAAATAAAAGCCCGAGATAATATACCCAAAATAATGTTAATAAAATTGAAAAATGTATGCTGAGTTTTTCTTCAAACATGTTGAGAGAAAACTGCATTTATGGGGGGGAAGGGGAATAATTTGAGGCTCCTGGAGATAACTTAAGTTATGCCTAAATCCAACACTGAGCACACAGGAACACTGTTGCCTGGACAGATATCAGCATATGTGAGTAAAGGCAACCATGAAAGGTTATCTTCTTCTTCTTCTTCGATCCTTCTGTCAGAAAACTTATATCAGGAGGCCGGTAGCCTTTATGAAAGCTATCATGCAATCCATATCCTCTCGTGTACCATACAGTTTTGTCTTCAGTGTGGTTGGAACAGGCCAGATTGCGTCTCTGTTGTCAGCATACAGTTGACAGTGTTGGAGCACATGCTCAGCATTTTCGGGTGCCACGCTGCAGGGACACGTCTCCGTATTTCCTACACCGAAAAATGTGAACATATGTTGACGAAATCTGTTGTGCCCTGTCCTTAGTCTGAATATAATACTCTAGAGAGGCGATGAAGTGAGTCTTGGGGAGAAAATCTGGTGTGGGTATCCAGCCACCTTTCTTGGATACTAGATTGTATTAATGTTTTCATCTCTTGGTGGGTTAAGTCGCTATTTGGTTGTACCATGTCACTGCCGCTTCTGGCCAATCTGTCCGCTATTTCATTGCCTTCCACGCCACAGTGACCTGGAATCCACTGCAGTATAGATTGTTCTACTGAAGAGCCTAAGTAAATCAACTGTTGCATCAAGTCTACAAACTGAGTTGGGTTAACAATTGCTTGTAGAACTGACATAGCATCAGTCAGAAAGACCACTCTGCTATAAGAAAGGTTATGATAAGCAGCATCAACATGTTGTGTTTGTACAATTTCAGGCCATCAGAGCTCGACATGAAGGGGACCATGATGCCGAGGCCTCCCATTGGATTCTTGCTGGCCACTACAATACTGGACATACTGTTGTCGTCAGGCACATTGCAGCAGATGCAATTATTAACGGTACTCACTGGTTTCCATCTTCTTTTGTCGTCTCGCTGATACCAGGTTGTGGTCCAGTGTCGTTTTCTGTATTTGTCTAGCAAGCACTTCTCGGGTGGCGGATTTGTTCATCTTTTTTTTTTTTTTTTTTTTTGTAGGATTCAGCTATGCCATTTATCTATCTCTTTCTGATTTGATTTGAACAACGGATCAACATCATGGCACAGGGGTTGTAAACATAAGTGCTCCGTTCTACTTCTAACTCAAACCTGAGTCCGAAGAATCTCAGCGCAGTGCATGAACTTTGTAGCATTAAATCAAATCTGTCTCTTTCTTGGTCCTCCTCCCAGATGTTCTGCTGTAAAAGGTCTCATATACAGTCTGGTCTGGCTGCATTCTCACTAGAGGCTGAACCATTTCATTCTTTGTCTGTCAGTATAATCCAGACATGGTCTTATTTTAACTTTCTCTCTAATGCTGGAATTCGTAAACCTGTCTCTTCTTGTGCCGTTTTTGTCCTTCTTCTTCTTCTTTTGTCCTTTATTTCCCTGTTGGAGCAGAGGCTCTACCCTCAGTTTTGAAATGTTTAAACATGATTTTAGAATAGCAATGTTTCCTTCATCTTAAGACATTTTTTGATACATCATTGATGCAGACAGCTTAAACAGGTGCCAGAGAAAGTGACTGATTAAGGGGGGGGGGGGTGTAGACAAGGAGCCAGACCAAGAAGGCAGTGGAAAGATAATACACGGGTAGACCTACAAACCTTTGGAGTCACCAGCTGAAATGAGGCCACTCAAGAGCATTGAATGGAGGCTGGGGATATCTGTAGCAGTTACTCTCTAGGGCTAAGATTACTGAAGAAGAATTTTCCTTCTGTTTCTGTGTGTATTTGTAGTTTAGGAAAGGAGTGGCTAGCATACAAGTTAGTTGCATATTCTTTACAACTTTCAGCATGTCGACTCTTCTTTGGCTACTGGAGAATGGGACCGGAGCATGTTTATCAATGTCCCTAGTGCAATGATGTCACTTCTTGATTCATTTGTTCATTCATTCATTTTTTACAACAGTGTTTCTTTACATATTTTTTTTTTTAATTCTTTTGCATCTGCGGCCTACAAAAATTGAAAATTTTACCACTAGGACTTTTTTCTTTGTTTCAGAAAATTATGACTATTTAAAAAGTTATCTGGATGATTTGGCAGCCCCTGAGCGGAGTATCAGCATTCTCAACTGGGCCAGCAATGGGAAAGTGTTTCTTGACTTCATCAACATTCGTAAACGTCTGGAAGAACTGAAACAGGTTTGTAGTTTTTGGTATCATTTCTTAGCTGTACTGGGGTGTGTTTTTTTTTACCCCATTCAAAGGAAAATAGTACACTACAGCAATGAAACCTTCTTTAGCTGTAAATTGCAGCGGATAGTCTTGGTTGTTCCTCTACAGCTGGTCTTATTTCAGAACTTTTTTATGCAGATCCTATTATTGATTGGGCTGATCTTTATGCATACTTTAGGTTTCTCGTCTCTCAGGCAGATGTACAATGACGGAAACACCCCTATTTATTACCTTTTACAACATGTTTGTTATCTACTTTACTCCAGAATAGGGTCTGGAATTCACATAGGGAGAACACTTAAATAAAATATTAGGCTCAATATTTTTTTGCAGCCTTAGCTCACAAACAAATGTAAATAAACATGATTTTTAAAAAGAAAATCACTTTTGGAGACAAAAATAATTATTCATGTTGAGAAAATTCTGTGTATGGATTCCGGGGCCCCATAGAGGGGTTGGGGCACTGCCCCCTTAACATGTCGAACAAGGCGACTAAGTATTTCCTGAGAAATTGGAGTGCGTCTGCCTGAGAGTCTGCATACAAATAGCCTAGATCTGTAAAATGGATGTACAAGCAAAACTCAAGTTCTGGAACAGGACCACAGTCCAAAAGTGGACGAACAACCAAAACTTTGCGCTAGAGTTTACAGCTGGTAAAGGCGAAGAAGAAAGAGAAAATGCAATGCAGACATGTTGTTGGCAAACTGGAGGGTCTCCAATCATAACTTTTAATTTTTCTGTGAAAATTATCAATATTTCTTGTTTGCAGTCACAGCCTTCAACCTACGATCTGGAAGAGTTGCAACCAGACATAGAATCTCTAATTTCCCGCATCAAAGGACTGACCTGCCTCAACTCCAAAGACCGCCTGTGTCAGTCAGAAATTTCCAAGATGTCTGCAAATCTCTTGAGGACCTTTCATGCATTAACTGGCGGATCACTTGTCAAGTGGGTACTTTTTCAAACTTGATTTTTTGTTCACAATTTAATCATTCCATTTCTTTAGTTTGTGTGTTGTTTTTCCCCCATATCATAATTTTAAGCCTAATATGTTGTTGTTTGTTTTATCCTGATACATCAATAGTTTTAAGCAGTATATATTATGAAACCGATCCCGTTGCAAGTAAGTTTTCTTGTTCTTTCTCTTCATTGGCTGTAAACTCCGTTAGTAAGGGGGGGGGGGGGGTGTATTGTGAACTCTGGGCTTGTGTTGCAGGACCTGAATGTTTCATGCACATTCATTTTGCAGATTTGACTCATTTGTATACAGACTGTTGGTTTCTCGCCTCACAGGCAGATGGAGGCCGACTTGAAAGGAAGACCCCAATTAGTCGACATATGACATGCTTGTTGGGGAGAGGTGGGTAAATTTTGTTTTTCCCACAATCGGGTCGTGGAACCCACATAGGGAATATACAGTTACGAAAGCCTTCTTCAAAGTTAAATGTGTGTTTAATTTTTTTTTTTTTTTTAATTTATTTCCAGTTCAGTTTGTGTGTGTTTAGTTTTAAAAAATATTTAAAAAAAAAAAACCTTACTTTCTGTTATTCAGAGTAATGAGCAAACACATTCCCGACCTGCCTATGCCAGAGGACTACACACTACAGGAGCTGAAAGCGTTAACCCGGGCACACATGCTGGAGCAGTGTGGCTCTTAACTGGAACCAGTGATTGAGTAATTGACGTGAGCTTTCATGGAAATGTTGAGAAGCAAATTAAAATGGAATGAATTGCCTTGTACTTTTATAAGCTTGTGTTTGTATGGAACACCAGGGTCATAGCATCTTCCCATTCTAATTTACCAGCACCATGTACGTAAACAGATCCCTCCCATTTCAGTGTTCAGAGAATATCGATAATGTACAGTACCATACGATTATATTGTCTATATATGGGTGGGTAACCGATACACACACATAAGAACATAAAAGTAGAAAGCACATACGATACCATATATCTGATTGTCTTATTCTTGTAATATAACGTAACACGTATCTTCTCGGAGCTTACTGCCAGTCATATTTGGGCCCAGTTATGGGAAGTCGGAAACAATCATTATTATTCATGTCCGGTAACTATTGTTTTGTTGTCTGCCTGTTCACACTTTTTAACTGTTTCCTTTATAAGTGTGCATTACCTCAGTTCATTTTTTGAGGAATAAAAAATAGAAAGTACGTTATATGTCAGCTACATCTATGTATTACATCACCTCAGTTTTGACAAACTGAGAATAAATGTAAACATCAAAAATCATGTTTCCCTGAAACTAAGACCAGGTCTCATATTAACTTCTTCTTCCAAAAAAATGTTCTAGGCCATATTTTCTTGAGATGTTATTCCCCCGATACAAACATCTACATTTATTCATGTACAAAATTATACATTTTTTTATGAATTACGCCAAGTCACCTTTATCTGGACCACATTGACATAAATCCCAAATTCTGGCCTGAATGTCTTGAGACTCCGTGTCCTGTAGAACCGTGGACATTTGTTGTCCATTTAGCCTGTCAGTCTGTAGTGCATTGGTAAGACAACTGTCAGTGATTTTATCCTGTGAATTCTCCAACCAGGTCACGACGAGTCACTTAACTAGGGCTTATTTTGGGAGGTCGGGCTTATAAAGAGAAGAAGGACGTAGAGTACGAGGTAGACCAAGAACAAGATGGAAGGATAACATCAGAGAAACTCTACAACAGCACGATGTGCCTATGGTCGAGGCGGCCTGAAGAGCTAGAAACAGAACCTTATATCTCTCTCGACACCCACAGTGGTAAAAAAGGAAGTGAAGAAGAAGAAGAAGAAGGGCTTATAAAAGCATCATAACAATCATGCAACGGATTATTTTGGGTGTAGGTCTTAGTTTCAGGAAAACTCAGCATGTTTCCTAATTCAAGGAGGCAGAAAAATCCTGCACCAAGGAAGAAAATCCCACACACATGAGGACTTTTGCTTAATGTAGTTGATCCTGCGCATCGGTGGTATCGTTTCCACTGGCATCTGTCTCGTGTAGTGCCAGTCATTCTGATAACAGATGTACTTTCGTGCCAGGAGGCCAGACTGTCCTACTCTTGGTTAGCTATCCAACTATTGGTTTCATTAAAGAGTCAACAGACATTTTTCTTGTTTCAATGGCTGATACTTCATTATTTTGTTAGATATGATTAGCAGTATGTTGTCGTCATGAAACAGACTCAAGAATGGTTTCGCACAGATGTATGAACTCTGTTGCACTGGTGAAAATCTTTGGGGGGGGGGGGGGGGGTGTGTGCTAAAAGGGGTGTGGCCAGACAATAGTACTCTGCGGGAAACCAAAGAAGTATAAGATACCAACACATAACTGGTGTCGATTGCCGCTGCACCACGCTGCGAGATTTACTGAGGAGGATATTCTAGCACTGATGGACTGAATGGTTCGATGTGCGATAAGGATAATCTGTCAACCGACTAACTAAATGTCATCATGAAAAAAAAAAGTTTTTATTGATTTAATTGTACATGGACAGTTTCTGATTAAAAATGTCTGATGAACGCAGAAGTATTAAAAATGTCTCACTTAATTTGTCTTCTTGGTTTATTTCATGTTAGACCTTAGTTAATTTTTGATGAGTGGCTGGCTGAAGGTTAGAAATGACGTACTCTCATAGGACCAGGGTTCAAATCCTCACAAACATGGAGGATTACAATCCATGAACTAGCCTTGCAGCCTGAAATCTTCAGACTTACGACCACCATACAGAGCAGTGAATAAATTTTTTTTTTAAA